GCTCTTTCCACTCCCTGAACTGCAGCTCAGTGTGCGTGGCACTGTTACAAGGGCCCTGGTAAGCATTACAACCAGAATGTGCGGGAGCACCTAAAAGAGTGATCCCTGATAAGCTTGTGTGCAGCACACAGCTAAATGTGTGACCCCCTAACCCTGGGCAGGTGCCAGGACCAGGTATTTGAGCACCTCATCCAAGTATGCATAAAGGAAGGGGAGGGAGAGAGGGAAGGGGAAGGGGAGGGGAAAGAGAAGGGGAAAGGGTAGGCGGGAGCTCTAGAAAAAGATTCTAGGGACTGGAGAGATCGCATTGTGGCTGAGGCACTTGTACTGCATTGACTGCATTGGTTCAATCGCCAATACCCCATAAGGTCCCCCAAGTCAGATAAGGAGTGATCCCTGAATGCAGAGCAGGAGTAAGCTCTGAGCATCACTGGTGTGTCCTAAACCTCCCCTCCCCTCCAAATTAAAAGTAATTTTAAAAAAAATTTTTATTAGTGAAACACCATGAGGTACAATTATAGACTTACACATTTTTCTGCTTGGGTTTCAATTATACAATGATCAAATACCCATCCCTCCACCAGTGCCCATTTCCCACCACCACGGATCCCAGTATCCCTCCCACCCCCAACCCCCTCATCCCACCCTCCCTCTGTGGCAGGGCATTCCCTTTTGTTCTCTCTCTCCTTTTGGGTGCTGTGGTTTGCAAAAGAGGCATTGAGTGGCAATCATGTTTGGTCTATAGTCTACTTTCAGCATGCATCTCCCATCCTGGGAGGATCCTCCCAACCCCCTTTATTTGGTGCTCCCTTCTCTATCTGAGCCCCCTTTTCCCCTAGCATGTGTGGCTGGCCTCCAAGCCATGGAGCAAACCTCCTGGTTAAAAGTAATTTTTTTAAAGGTAAGACAATCCCTGGGGGCAGTAAAGATCTTTCTTTCTTCCTTCCTTCCTTCCTTTCTTCCTTCTTTCCTTCCTTCCTTCCTTCCTTCCTTCCTTCCTTCTTTCTCTTTCTTTCTTTTCTTTCTTTCTTTCTTTCTTTCTTTCTTTCTTTCTTTCTTTCCTCTCTTTCTCTTTCTCTTTCTCTCTCTTCCCTCCCTCCCACCCTCTCCATCTCCATCCCTCTCCCTCCATCCCCCTCTCCCTCCTTCCTTCCTTCCTTCCTTCCTTCCTTCCTTCCTTCCTTCCTTCCTCCCTCCCTTCCTTCCTTCCTCTTTTTCTCTTTCCTTTTCTTTCTCTTTCCTTCCTCCCTTCTTTCTCCCCTCCCTTCCTCCCTTCTTTCTCCCCTCCCTCCCTCCCTCCCTCCCTCCCTCCCTCCCTCCCTTCTTTCTTTCTTTCTTTCTTTCTTTCTTTCTTTCTTTCTTTCTTTCTTTCTTCTTTCTTTCTGTGGTGGAGGCAGGGATTATAACAGAGCTCAGGGATTATTCCTGGCTCTGGGTTCTAGTGACCTCTGCTGGTGCTTGAGGACTGATATGTAGTGCCAGGGAATCAAATCAGCTGCAGTCAGGCAAATGTCTTATCCCCTGTGCTATCTCTCCAGTCCCTCTTGTGTTTCTGAGAGAAATGGCGCAGAATTGCTTGGAGGCCAGCGCGCAGATGTGTATGCAACCTGGAGGTGACGGGTGTCTCACATTCCTGTCTGAGGCTCATTAGTGAAGATGCTTAACTGGAGATCTTTTGGGGTATCTCTCATTCCTTCCAGGCACACTCTGTGGAGTTCAGTGCAAACTAAGGAGAAACTTGGGATTTATGGGAGAGCAGGAATCTCATTTTCCTTTGAATGCAGGAAAGGGAGCCACAAAAGCTTTTCCTGAGTGATTTTTAAAAAAAATTTGAACTCTCAATGCAGTTACCCTGAATTTTGATCATATTTTACTCTCAGCAAGACTTTCTGCCCAGGGCAGGAACCATGGTACAGCCGGTAGGGCGCTTGCCTGGCATGGGGCTGACCTGCGTTGGACCCCTGGTGCCACACGTGGTCCCCTGAGCCCCCGCTAGGAGTGATCCCTGAGCACAGAGCCAGAAGTAAGTTCTGAGCACTGCCGGGTATGGTCCCAAAACCCAAAGTCAAGACTTCCTATGTTTCTGTGGGGGCTGCTCCCACCAGGGGCGAGTGCTCTGTTGTTCTGCTCCGCCTCCAGGAGTTCGGGATCGGGTACTCCTGGTTACCCTAAAGGAACCCAGAATTTCAAAGCAGCAGACGATACAGCCCCCACCCCACCCCCAACGCATGTCAGACCTCTTGTGTTGTGACAGCAAAAAGAGAAGGGCGGATTGGAAGCACCCTTTGACTCAGCAGAGTTTGGGAGTAGGAGGAAGGGGCTGGCAGGGAGCGCACTCCCCTTGCACACTGCGACCTTGGGATTTGATCCCGGGAGCCCTGTACATCCCATGAACCTGTTGGGAATAATTTCTGAGTGCAGAGCTAGGAGAATCCCCTGAGCACCGCTGTGTGTTGCCCCCAAACTAAAATAATATTAGTACTAATAATGCTACTAATAAAGAACTCACCGGGACCCACAGGAAAGAACAATCTGGTTCCTCTGATGCGAAGTACCTGGTTCAAGGAGTTGCAGGAGGTGTGGAAAGGCACTGGGCTTCCTTTAGGGATTGTGCAGAGATGGGGGATGAGGGTGGTACAAGGATGTGAGCATAATTTACACCCGAGCACACTGGCACCTCTGCCGCACACCAGCTGGGCCTCAAAATTGGTTAAAATGGGGACTGGGATGTGACTCAGCCTGACCTGGGCTTGATCACTGCACCAAAAAGAACAAAAATAAGGCTAAAATGATATACTTGGGGATTGGAGAGATAGGATAGAAGCTAAGGCGCATTCCCTGCTCTGTGGTGGACCCTGGTTTGATCCTTGGCTCCGCTCAGTCTCCCAAACATCATGGGGTGCAGCCTGGAGAATTCAGGGGCTCAGGAAATCCCTGGCACTGCAGTCTGAATCGTCTGGTGAGGCCCAAGCCCTGGACCATTGGCCACCTGTTTGACCAAGAATCACCAGGAGAGGTCCCAGACACCTGAGAACGTCTTGGGAAGCCTCCAAAAAGAAATTTTATGTATTTTTCTCTTATGGGTTATACCTGGTGATACGCAGGGATCATTACCAGCTCTGACTCTAAATTCTTATAAGGTCTAGACTCTAAGGAGAACAGAATACAGCGTGTAGAGCACTTGCCTTGCATGCAGCTGACACTGGCACCCCCATATGTCCCCAGAGTCCGTCAGAAGTAATTCCTAAGTACAGAACTAGGAGTAAACCCTGAGCATCAATGGGTGCCTCTCCCCACCCAAAACAAAAAAAAGTCTCTAAGAAAAGTTTTTTGGTGGGGGGCACACCCAGTGGTGTTAAGGGGCTTCTCCTAGCAGTGCTCAAGGGAGTTTGAGGTGCTGGAAATGAAACCCGGGCCTCCTGCATGCATATACTCAGCCCATGAAGCTCTCTCCAGCTCTGGAAAGGACCTTTTCTTTGTAGTAGCTTCAAGTGGTGTCTGGGAGGGGTGCCTGGGTTGGCCAGAAAGTTTGCTTTGAGCATTGTGGGGCCACTCAGTCAGCTTTGCCTGATAGCACACTTGTTTCAAGTGACTTCTGGACCTTTTTTTTTTTCTTGTGCCACACTTGCTAGTGTTCAGGGGCTGGTGCTTGGGGGTTGGATGAGGGTCACACCAGGTGAATCTAGGCCTCTACCATGCACAGCAGCCCTTTGAGCTATCTCCCTGGCCTTTGGAGGGCTTCTTTCTGCATCCTGCACTGCAGAGGCTCTAGGTCAGCTTTGCCAGGAACTGTTGGCATACCGGCTGCAGTGAAAACATGCCACCTCCTTGGGACAGCAGACAGTAGCACCCCTTTGCCCTCTCTGTTGGCAATAGGAAGGCATTTTCTTCGAAGTTGATTTCGTGCCCACTCGCACATTCCAGCTCAGTCCTTTTACTCACTCCAGCAGGAAAAGGCTCAGGGCAAAGGAAGAAACACCATGAGCTCAGAACAAAGGCGCCAGGGACACTGAGAGCTCGTGTTTGTATCCTAGGATGCACAGCAGGTCTGACCTGGTCCAGTGGATGATGGTCAGCTGGAGACCGGAGCACTAAGATTCTCTAGTTTTGAAATCCCACCATGCCAGCCCCTTTCTGAGGCCTATGACCAGAGTATGATTTCTCTATCAAGAAGACTGGATGTGTGGCTGACTAGGACCTTTCCCAACACTCTTTATAAGGGCTTTGAAGGGAAAGTAACCAACCCCTGCCCAACCCTAAACAATTTCCCAATTTTATTTTTTCTAAAAAAATTTTTTTGTTTCTCTTTTTGAATGACTATTATGACCCTTTTTAGCAAGACTTCAAAAAATATGATCAAAAATCAGATTTAGGGGTTAGAGAGATCACAGAGCTGGTAGGGTTGGGCATTTGCCTTGCACACAGCTGATCCAGGTTTGGTCTATATTAAAATATTAAAACAGTACATCATATTTTCCTTTTTTATTGTAAATCCTGAAATGATGGAAAGTCACCTTCAGCTCACTGGCAACAAAGCATGATGAATGACAGTGACTGAGGAATTGGTGCAGGACAAAACAAGCACATGCACATGCGCGCGCGTGCACGCGCGCGCGCACACACACACACACACACACACACACACACACACTTTTTACCCCCTTTGGTGAATCTTATGTTGAGTTTCTGATATTGAAGAGTGTGAGTGCCCAGGCCATTCGAGAACCTGAAATAGTCAAAGCTCACCTATTTAATCTTTGATACAAGTGATCATCCAAGGAGACAACTGTGGTGCTGTGAAAACACACTGGCTTGGGGAGTCAGAAAATCTAGATTCCTCATCCTGCCTCTTCACAACTGAAGTGGGCAAGACACTTAATCTCCCTGGACTGTTTCTTCAGGTAGGGATGGGGACAGTAAATCCCATCTATCTCACCAAATGTGAAAATATGAAAACACATGGGGAATATTTACTCTACTTGATGTACAATATACTCAAATAGAATTGTGTCATTATTTATTACATTTGTGGTATTTTATGAAACATTTTCTTCACCAACCCCCATACCAATTTAATAAAACAAATATAAAGGTAACGTTTAAAAAATTGCTGTATTCAAAAGTAACAATAAATTTTAAGGTAAATAAGCTTTAAAACAAAAGTACATGAGCAAAAATAAATAATTTACACCAACCCACTAACCTAATTTTCAGAATAAAGCCATTTCCAATTACAGCACTGTTATCCCGGGCTGTGGTCAAACTTTGATAATTCATTATTAAAAAAAAAAAAAACCAACAGTAACAAAACATTGAACACTAAAATCTTAACAAAACCAAAGCAATGAATTTAACGTTTTAGTTTTAAATAACCAAACTTTGTAATTTTATACATAATCCAATGTAATGCTAATATAATTAGCATTTCAGCTGAAGAGCTGGTATTTAACAGGAATGGAAAACTATAATGAATAATCTTCAAACCATGAAATACAAATAAAAACGGACAAGTATACAGTAGAACAAAAACTGCAGACACTCTACTAACAGGGAGATATTTGAAGGCTTCATATCCTTTATTATCCATGATGGCTTTTGGAATTATGATTGTTTGATGTATATAACCTTTAAAATTTTAGATACAGCCTTTAGTTTATTTCACAGTAGGTTAAAAATCCATCATCAGAGTCCATAAGACATCACTGATCTTTCACACAGACTCCAGGAGTTTGCAATCTGATAAGAAAGTAACAGGAAAACTGACTGTATTGCCCTAATTTCATACTTCCCTGTACACAATGAATCAGTCTGGGAAGCTATTCCAAGAGTTAGATACACAAAAGTGTCAAGAATAAAATGTTCTCCACTCTTGCATAAAAATGTGTACAGTGTTTTAGGAATGGAAAACTTCTAATTGTCCTGGGCCCACACTCCACGGGGCCCGGCGGCCTGAAGACTGAATGGCTCCCTTTGCTTATCATAAGCTCCACTGTTGTGAGGATTAATCATCCAGCCCTGGTGTTTCTCCTTGTTGGATCCTTGATGCTATTCTGATGGCTTCTTCCAGAGATGGCTGTTCTCCGAGCTAAAACAGGAACATGGATAAAACCACAGTTAAGAAAATACCAAAGAGGGGGCTGGAGCAATAGCACAGCAGGTAGGGCATTTTCCTTGCACGCGGCCGACCCAGGTTTGATTCCCAGAATCCCATATGGTACCCCGAGCACTGCCAGGAGTAATTCCTAAGTGCATGAGCCAGGAGTAACCCCTGAGCATCGCCTCCCAAAACAAACAAACAAACAAAAAAAACACCAAAAAAGAAGAAAATCAGAACAAAAATTATAGCGTACTGTAAGAAACTTATATGAATATGGTCTCTCTAGCTTTCAAAATCACTTATATAGGCTCTCTCCATTTTTGGAGAAGCCCGCGTTCTCTCTGAGCATGTCACTCTCTCTCTTATTCTCCATTTCCCCACTTATCTGCTTACCCCTTTCTCTTCCTCTCCAAAAAACCTCCAAATAAAATCTGTTACTTAAAAAAAAATACCAAAATTACTTATATATATAAATTTTGGACTGTAGTTTACTGAATGGTAGAAAAGGGGACTACTGAGGATACCAGAAGCAAAATTTCTTGCTGAAATTCAGATGCCTGGGCTTAAAAGGATATTCTTGCATGCTTGCCTTACACACTGCCAACCCAGGTTTGAACCCCAGCTCCATATGGTCCCCTAAGTCTGACCAGGAGTGATCCCTGAGCTCAGAGCCAGGAGAATGCCCTGAGCACCAATGTGTGTGGCTCAAAAAGAAAACGATGAAAAGGTAGCTGGCTGCCTTCCTCGCCTTCCTTCTCCTTTCCTCTCTCTTCCTTTCTTCCTTGGTGGTGGTGATAGTGGGGTGTCAGGCTCAAACCCAGGGCCTCACTTTTTCTGCTTCTTTTTTCTGTCGAGGGCTGGGAAGGGGGGTGGTGGCACACCCAGCTGTGCTCAGGGCTTATTCCTGGCTCTGTACTCAGGGGTCACTCCTGGTGGGCTTGGCTTGGGTGACCATATGGGGTATCAGGGATCAAACCTGGGTCAGCCACGCGCAAGGCAAATGCCTTACCTGCTGGACTATCTCTAGCACCCACAGCCTCATTTTCTTCTTTTCTATGTTTCTGGGCCACACCTGATGATGCTTAAGGCTTGCTCATGATTCTGTGCTCATGGATCACTCCTGGTGGGGCTCGTGGACCATGTGTGGTGCCGGGGACCTAAATCAATTTGTCATTGTGCAAGGCAAGTGCCTTATCCGCTTTACTATCTCTCCAACCTCACCTTATTTTTCTTGCTATAGATTCCCTTAGGAATTCCCTTAGGGCTGGAGCCATAGCACAGCGGTAGGGTAGGGCGTTCGCCTTACAAGCGGCCAACATGGCCAACCCGAGTTCGATTCCTCCGCCCCTCTCGGAGAGCCCGGCAAGCTACCCAGAGTATTCGATATGCCAGACACAGTAACAACAAAGTCTCCAATGGAGACGTTACTGGGCCCGCTCGAGCAAATCGACGATCAACGGGAGGGCCTTTACCTTTTAGATTCCCTTAAAATAATCAACGATAGTAGTAAACAGATTATACTGTGCCTACCTCCTGGAAGGCCTGTGCATAAAGTACGGGTATAAGGCTGACTGCTTGGAGCAACACCGAGGTGACTTACTCACCTGAACTGCAATCTGGGTGCCATTGGATGTTGCCACTAATGTCAGAGGTCTGGTTTCTGTGGTCACTAAGTGATGGCTGTGCTGCTGGTGTCCAATTTCTGAGGAGGCAGTATGGAATGCTGCCAAGTCCTGAGCCACAATTGCAACCTGAAGCGACAAAGAAAATACACAGGGGAAGAATTAAAAGAAAGATTAAAAAAAAAATTAAAAAAAATTTTTTTTTAAAAAAGAAAGACTTAAACAGGCTATAATCCATATAACGCAAAAGACAGTCTTCTAGCTTAAAGGAAAAACTGCCTATTGACCACAGACCTGAGCTCTTACCTTTTCTGGACTCCACTTTTTTATTTGAGGGTGTGAGTGTACAGAAGTTCAATGAAATAAAAATATTACTAGATGCAACACACACACACACATTCATAGCAGCATTACTTATAAAAGCCAAGATCTAGAAACAATTCTAGTGTCCACAACAGAGAAGTGAATAAAGAAACTGTGATCCATAAGGAGATGAAGAGATTGCACAAGGATTAAGTCACTTGTTTTGCAAGTGACCGATCAACCTCAATTTGATCCTTAACCCCCAGAACTCCTAACAATCATCAGTTCAACCATCAACCCTTGAGCTCAGAGCCCCTGAGAACTATCAAATGTGGTTCAAGACCTCCCTCACCCCAACAATAGAAGAAATTGTGTTATATACATAACAATGGAATATTACTCAGCTATGAGAAGTATGAGAAAAGATGAAATCTTGAGGTTTGTTGCAATCTGGATGGAACTGAAAGTCAGGCTAAGCGAAGTGAGTAAGAAAGAAAAGGACAAATACCAGATTATCTTGTGCATATGTGGCAAAGTGTAAAGAAACCAAGAAGAAACAGACGTCCTCAATGGAAGCAAACCCTCAGACCCCCGAGGCACAGTCAACAAAGGGGACATCTGAGGGTGCTAATGTTGGGGGCAGGAGGAGAGACCTTGGGCCCAGGACACAAGTCCTGGCACTCTGGTGGTGAGCTTGATGTAGCACAAGTATGAAACAGTAATATTTGCACTTCCATGAAAAAAAAATCACTTAAAAAGTAGAAGTAACAGAAGGACAGAGGTAGCAGGTCTTTGGCACTGTCCTTTAGTGTACCATAAATTTTCATACCAAAGTATAAACAGTATTGTCACCATGTTTCATCAACTACAATAAAATGAATAAATGAAGTTTTAAAAAGTGCAGGACAGTCTAGACATGGCCATTAAAAGTATGTGTAGGGGTTGTGATGGGGTAAGGTGCTTGCTGTGCACACGGCCGACCCAGGTGCCCTACCCGCTGCTATACTATCACTCTGGCATCAATGAACATTTAATATATACTTTGGCTAAGTACTTAATATGGCTAAGTACTTTGGCTAAGTACTTAATATGCATTATCTTGTTTAATCTTTATGTCAACCTTAAGAGGGCAGATGCAACAATCTTATTTTCAAAGATGAGGGAAAACTGAGACTCGGACAGCTATATAGTTAAGAGTAGTAAAACAGGGGCTGGAGTGATAGCACAGTGGATAGGGTGTTTGCCGTGCACACAGCCGACCTGGGTTCAATTCCCAGCATCCCATATGGTCTCCTGGGCACGGCCAGGTGTAATTCCTGAGTGCATGAGCCGGGTGTGACCCAAAGAGCCAAAAAAAAAAAGTAGTAAAACAGAGATTCAATCCTAAATTTCTAAGTTTAACCACTGTATTACACTGTAGTAATGGTTCTGATAATGAAACATCTATTGATCTATTGATTGAAATAATGGGAAAAAGCAGTTACCTGCTGTCCTTCTGTACCCTCGGCTGTAACCATGGCAACAGAGTGTGTTCCTGCTGAGGAGATGACAGCATCGTGAGTGGGGACTGTGATGGGTGTGCCATCCTGTGTTACCATTGTGATCGTACTGCCAATGGCTTGCATGTCAGCTTGAGATATGTTGACCTGCAATACAATGCATTTCACAAATCAACATTTCCTGTTATACTTAGTGATTATTTTGTGATCAGGAGTCTGAGCTCTGTGGTGCTGGGGATAAAACTTGTGTCTGAATGCAAGTTAAGCACCTCATTCTAGCTCCCCAGACACTGGAAGTCCTTTGGTATGTATGTGTGAAGTAAAGAAACTATGAAAAGGGGAGAGAGAAAAAGGTATCATGTTCAAGAAATAACACAGATGTCTGCAAGGGTGAATAGAAGCCCTGTGAATTAAAAGAACTAAAAGAAGGACAATAGAAGCCCTTTGAATTGAAAGAACTAAAAGAAAGAAATTCCAGGATCCGGCGAGAAAGCTCCACAGACTGACTGCATATTTTGCAGTTTGATCCCTGGCACCAAATGGTTCCCTGAGCCCTGCCAAGTGTAGAACCCCTTCCATAACAACAACAACAACAACAACAACACAACAACAACAACAACAACAAAAACAACAAAAGAAAGAAATTACACACTTCAAGATGGGATATGGACTGTAACAGAGTGGAATGTGCCTTTTGGCACATTTATAAAGAGCAGGCTTAAATTCACTGCAGCACTATTTTTAACATCCAAGATCTGAAAACAATCCAAATTCTTAATAAAATACAAGGGGATAAAGAAATGGCCTGCACGCACGCGTGCGCGTGCGTGAACACACACAGTATTACTCAGCTATAAGAAAAGATGAAATCTTGCTTTTTGCACAAATAGATGAAACTAGAGGGTGTGTTTTAATTAAGTAGGTCAGGAAGAGAAAGACAACTAGCTTCTGTCAGGGTATTTACAACCTTGCACGATGTCATTTAAAAGCTTCTCTACATTCGTACATACACCTTCCACTACCTGCACACCAGTATCTGGACTAAAGCCACAAACAGTCCCTTCTACACCCAGAGAGTGCTGTATCTTCACTCTCTGCATGGAAAACTCATAAAATTATTTTAAGATCTGAGCATGCAAAAAATAAAAATAGAAAACTTCAAGACCTGAGCATGGAAGTTTATAAGTCTGTAACTGTACCTCACAGTGATTCATTTAAAAAAAGGAAGAAGAATAAGAAAAAAAAAAGAAGAGAAAGAAAAAGAAAACTTCAAGATCTACTGAGTGGAATTCTCTGTAAGGATCTCCAAGATTGGGGTATGGTGCCGCCAGCAAGTCAATCTGTACCTGTGAGGTGAGTGCATCAGCAGCCTGATGGTGCCTTCAGACTTCCAGATACCCCAAAATTGCTGCTGTGAACCCAACAACTTGGGGCCAAGTTTACCAAAAAAGTAAAATGGCCAAAAGTTAGGTATGTGGGAGACACAACCACAAACCATCTCCGGCTCACCTATATTTGGAGGCAAGTCCTCTCTGGTTCCTGATCAAACTGCTTAAAGGCCATGATCCCAGAGATTCAGAAACAAATCTCGAAACCCAGCGGCTTTTGGCAGAAATGCGTCCAGTCCCTGCAGTAGGTTACTGGTGCTGGGCACCCTAGGTGGGAATAGGTTTTGTGCCTTGGCCTGTTCCCCCTGGCAGCTTGGTGGCCGTCATCCTCCAGAGGCCATTGGACAGTCAGGTTTGGGCCTACAGTGAGGAGACACGTGGGGCCTCACGGGATGGGGGTGGAGCCGCCTTTCCTCCCACCCCAATGAGAGCCCAGGTCGCCACCCACGAATGGCCTCTCTGGCTCCTGATCAAGCTGCTTAACGGCCATGATCCCAAAGACTCAGGAACAAATCTCAGAACCCAGCAGGTTTTGGCAGAAATCCCTCCAGATCTACTTGTTAAAATTTCAGAATTCCAAAATCGCATGGCCACTACTGCAGCCATGCGACATCATATGCTATTCATAATCAGCAATAGAAAACAAATTGTCTAATGTTGCCTTTTCGGCAGATCTGAGTGCTGGGGTAAAATCCCAAATAATAATGGTGGGTCTGGTGTCAAAATATTGAATGTAATCAAAGTAGAGAGAAAGTAATATGGAAATCATCTGGCCCACAGGTAGGAGGAAGGGTGTGAGATGGGGGTATACTGGGGTTTTTGGTGGAAAATGGGCACTGGTGAGAGACGGGTGTTTCATCATTGTATAACTGAGACTTAGATCCGAAAGCTTTGTAACTGCTCTCACAGTGATTCAATAAATAAATTTATAAAAAAGGGGAAAAAAAGTAAGGTGGAGCTCATGCCCAATTCAATCAGCCTAATCAATGGCTGAATAAACAGCAATACTTCTACATTAAAATTAAAAAAAAATGGGGGGCCTCCAAGATTCCCTCAAGAAGAATAATTTGGTCCTTTTTCCAGGTTGCCATAGCACTTACACAGCAACCAAAAAATTTTTTTTTTCTTTTTTCTTAGTGTTGGTGTTTTGGTCTTACTCAGCTGCGGTCAAGGCCTACTCCCTCCCGTGTGGCGGGGAGGGGTGGGGCAAGACAGGGGTGTTCAGGGGACAATCTGCAGTGCTGGGAACTGAACCCGACTGGCTGCATCTAAGGCAAGCACCTTATCTACTGTACAATCTCTCCGGGTCCTGTTCTTTTTTTTGGCGGGGGAGGGGGCACACTGGTAGTTCTCAGAACTTAAGGACTAGAATCTATGCTCAGCATACACACGTATGCTCTCAGCCTGTATTTCTCTGGTGCTACATACCCATCATCGTAAGAAACTGCTCATTTCAGCAATGTTTTCTTCTTACTAGACTCTGATACCTTCTTTCTTGTACTCCCTATGCAAGCTTCCAAAATGTCTAGTATTATGCAAATGCTCAATAAAAGTTGTCTTAAATTGACTAAAAGAATAGAAAAGAAATACAATTTCTGAAAGAAATGGAAGATCACATAGAAAAAAATAAAACTGGTATGGGGAAAATATTTGTTTTGAAAAATACAGAAAAGGATAAGACTCATTCTCTATCAACAGCAATAGAATATATCACAATGGAACAGGCCTTTTTTTCCCTGGTAAGTTTATTGTGCTTTTGGGGTACGGGGGTGTGTTTGGGGCCACAATGGACAGAGGTTGCTCCTTGTGGTGCTCAGGGAACCGTGAACTAATAGGAATCAAACTGGGGTCAGCCTCATGCAAACCAAGCGTCCATCTTCATCCCTATATTGCCTCTCTTGACCATAACACTCTCCTAAGAGAACCTGCCTTTTAAGTTTTGGGGCTGCTGTACAGGAAGTTTCTTCAAATTTAGGGAAAGAGGGAGAGTATCTATGACCCCCAGAAGTTCTCTGTTTGCACTGACCTAATTTTAAAAATGCCTTAAGACTGACAGTGAGTTAAAACAGGATTAGAAAAGGGCTCACACCACAGTTCCTCAACTTCTACTTGCTGCTGCAGGTGAGATTAATCTCCAGCTGACATCACTGGGTCAACTTTGGAACAAAGGCAGGGCCCCTCCCTCCGACTAGGTGCTAGTAGCTTTCACACCTAACCTGTGCATATTAACAGAGGCCCATACCACAGCTTCTGAAGCATGCAGCCACATAAGCAGTTACCCAACAGATCTGTGATCAGCAAATTACATGCTGCTCACAGTCCTGTTACAGGTCATTTGGTTAAGATGGGCAGAGAAGGAAGAAAGCAACACTCAGCCTAATCTCTGAGCATTTTCCAGAGGATCTAACTATAAAGACTCACCCCCAGCAAAGAAGAACACTAGAAAACCAATGAGGAAAACATAGAAACATCAAGTTCAATGAACAAAATATCATGAAGGCAAAACAACAATCAGCTCAGTAACTTCTCAGATAATTACGTTAGTGAGACCAAGATGAGAATAGTTAATGAGCTCCAAAAAAAAAAGGGGCACAGGTAGTCAGCAAAGCACACGAAAGCATGGGAGTCAAAATGAGAAAATTAGGGAGGATGGTGCCACCAGCAGGTGAATCTGTACCTGTGAGGCGAGTGCATCAGCAGCCTGATGGCATCGTCCGACTTTCAGATACCCCAAAATTGCTGCTGTGCCTTTGGCCAGACTCCAAAAACTTGGGGCAAAGTTTATCAAGGAAGTAAACAGCCAAAAGTTAGGTATGTGGAAGACACATCCACAAACCACCTCCGGCTCAGCTATATGATTGGAGGCATGGCCTCTCTGGTTCCTGATTGAACTGTTTAACAGCCATGATCCCAGAGGCTCAGAAACGAATCTCAGAACCGAAAAGCTTTTGGCAGAAATGCGTCCTATTCTTGCAGTAGGTTACTAGGGCTGGGCCACTCCAGGTGGGAATAAGTTTCGTGCCTTGGCCTGTTTCCCTTGACGGCCTGGTGACCATCATCCTCCAGAGGCCACAGGACAGTCAGGTTTGGGCCTGCAGTGATGAGACACACGGGGCCTCACCAGTTGGGGGTGGAACCGGCCCTTTCCTCCCCATCCCAGTGAGACCTAGAGTCGCTGGCTACAAACGGCCTCTCTGGCTCCTGATCAAGCTGATTAATGGCCATGATCCCAGAGACTTAGAAACAAATCTCAAAACTCAGTAGCTTTTGGTAGAAATGCATCTGGACCGCACACACAGCCATGGCTCCAGAGGCAAAAGGACTTAATCCAGAGCCTGGCAGCTTGCGGCAGAAAACTGAATGGACCATGCGTTAAACTACAGCACCATGCCTCCCCGGGAGGGAAAGGGTGTTGCTCCCTTCCGCCTTTCTCCCCCTGGCAGCAAGGTGGCCACCGCCTCAGAGCTTACTGGAAAGCCAGGTATGAGCCGGCGGTGACGGGGCAACTGCAGTCTCATGGAAAAGGGGACGGTACCGGCTCGTCCTTCATGACCTACCGACGTCACAAGTTGCCCCCCACGAGTGGTTCTCCGGCACAGACATGGCTCCAGAGGCAAAAGGACTTAGTCCAGAACCTGGCAGCTTGTGGCAGAAAAGTAAATGGACCATGCGTTAAACTACAGCACCATGCCTCCCCAGGAGGGAAAGCATGTTGCTCCCTTCCGCCTTTTTCCCCTCTGGCAGCAAGGTGGCTGCCTCCTCAGAGCTTATTGGAAAGCCAGGTATGAACCTGCGGTGACAGGGCAACTGCAGTCTCATGAGAAGGGGGGCGGTACTGGCTCATCCTTCACGCCCTACTGAGGTCACAAATTGCCCCCCACGAGCATCTTTCCGGCATGGCCATGGCTCCAGAGGCAAAAGGACTTAATCCAGAGCCCGGGAGCTTGCGGCAGAAAAGTGAAGGGACCATGCGTTAAACTATGGCGCCATGCCTCCCCGGGATGGAAAGGGTGTTGCTCCCTTCTGCCTTTTCTTCCCCCTTCCCCTGGCAGCAAGGTGGCCGCCGCCTCAGAGCTTATAGGAAAGCCAGGTATGAGCCGGCAGTGACGGGGCAACTGAAGTCTCATGGGAAAGGGGGCGGTACTGGTTCGTCCTTCATGCCCTTCCGAGGTCCTGAGTTACCCCCACGAGCGGTTCTCCGGCACAGCCATACACCAGATGCACAGAAACCAATCTCTAAATTATCTGGCTCTTTGCAGAAATCCAAAATTGCATGGCCGCAATAGCGGCCGTGCAACATTATATGATTCTCATAGCCAGCTATAGAAAACAAAGTATTTCACAATGCCTTTTCAGCAATTCTGATTGTTGGGGGGGAAATTCTAAACAATAATGGTGCATCTTTTGTCAAATTGATGAATGTAATCAATGTAGAGAAGAGTTAAGTAGAAATCATCTGCCTCACAGGCATTGGGAGGGTGGGAGGGAGGGTATATTGGGGTTCTTGGTGGTGAAATGTGAGTACTGGTGAAGGGAAAGGTGTTTGATCATTGTATGACCGAGACTTAAACCTGAAAGTTTAGTAACTTTTCCCACAGTGATTCAATAAATAAATATAAGATAAAAATAAAACTATGAAAAAAAAAAGTAAGGTGGAGTTCATGCCCAATTCAATCAGCTAATCAGTGGCTGAATAAATAACAGTACTCGTACACACACACACACAAAAGAGATAATTATAAGCAATTATAAGCAGAAATGAAGAGTACAGTAGATGATATAAAAAACTGAACAGCAGAATAACAGAAGCTGAGAAAAGATGAAGGAGCTCCAAGATGAGGAGGAAGAAGCTGCTAGGAAGGTGGAAAATAGTCAGAAAAGAAATCAATAGCAAACCAGAGAACTATGGAATGAGTTCAAGAGGAATAGTATCAGAATCATCAGAATCCCCGAAGAACAGGAAGGCAAATGTGATGAAGAAACAATAGTTAAAGAAATCAAACACAAACACTATCCTCCCGTTGTTCATCAATTTGCTTGAGCGGGCCCAGTAATGTCTCCATTTTTTTGAGACTTGTTGTTACTGTGTTTGGCATATTGAATACGTCACGGGTAGCTTGCCAGGCTTTGCTGTGTAGGCGAGATACTCTCAGTAGCTTGCCAGGCTCTCCGAGAGGGGCAGAGGAATTGAACCCGGCTTGGCCAGGCTGGCTGCGTGCAAGGCAAACGCCCTACCGCTGTGCTATCGCTCCAGCCCGTTAAAGAAATCACTGATAAGAATTTTTCACAGCTGCAGATTACAGGTACCAAGATCCAAGAGGCTGGAAGTGTCCCAGTGAAAACAGATCCAAGTAGTAAAACTCCAAGATAGTTACACTCAAACTGATAAGATCCAGATACAGAGACAGAATACTGAGACAGAAAGAGACAGAATATCCAAAGATAAAGACAGAGACAGAAAAAGGAACTTACACACAAAGGAAAAAACCATAAGATGTGCAGCAGCTCTATCAAATGAGAATCTACGAGCCAGAAGAATATAAAAGGGATAGTACAAAAAACCTCAACGAAATGAACACCTCACCAAGAACACTCTATCCAGCTAGATTATCATTCAGATTTGAAGGAATGACACAGAGCTTCATGGACATATTACAGCATAAGAAATTCATAGTCCTGAAACCAGTTTTGCAAGAAGTGTTAAAAGACCTTTATTTTTTTCCCAAAATCAGAATTCTTTTAGTAGTGAATATTTACATAAGACATCACTCATTTAGAGAAATGTAAAATACAAGAATACTGCTGTATTATTTTGGATTATGTTAACTCAAACTTTGAAAAAAACTTGGAAATATGAAGTTTTTTGGTCCTTACTTTCAGATCTAGACATTTATATTTGGGGCAATTCACTTCACAAACATGAAAAAATACAATCTAATCAGCATAAAAGAACTTCTTTAAAGGATACCACAAACTCCCAATATGTGGCATTAATGATGCATTCACTAATGGTGCATATGGCTGCCCTCTACAAGATTAAGAAAGGCATGTTTATTCCTAGACTGCTAAGGGATTTTATTCATTTTTCAATAATAAATTAAAACCTGATTTATACTGATTGTTCTATGTCTGATCAGTTTTTTTTTTTTTTGGCTTTTTGGGTCACGCCTGGCAATGCACAGGGGTTACTCCTGCCTCTGCACTCAGGAATTACTCCTGGCGGTAGCTCAGGGGACCATACGGGATGCTGGGAATAGAACCCGGGTCAGCCATGTGCAAGGCAAACGCCCTACCCACTGTGCTATTACTGCAGCCCCTGATCAGTATTTTTTAACGCAGATTTTTTTACTGTAATCTTTCACATTAATTCTGATGCTTAAGCAGTATCTATAATGTTTACTGGGAGGTGGGAGGGATACTGGTGAAGGAAAGAGGACACTGGTGGTGGGATTGGTGTTGGAACACTGTATGCCTGAAACAACTCTATTATGAACAATTTTGTAAATCATGGTGCCTTAACTAAAAAAAAAAAAAAGGGGGCCAGAGAGATAGTACAGCAGGCAGGCACATGGCCGATCCGAGTTCAATCTCTGGCATCCCATATGGTCCCCCAAGCACTAAGGAGTAATTCCTGAGTGTAAGAGCCAGGAGTAACCCCTGAGCATCGCTGGGTATGACCCCCTCCCCCAAAAATTGAATTAGAAAATATGTTTAGGGCTAGAGAGACAACACAGGGGTAGGTATTTGCCTTGCATGTTGTCACCCGTTTGGTTAGCTCTCCAGCAACACTCATGGTCCCTCAGGAACCACCAGGCATTATTCCTGAGCACATAGTAAAGAACAGGCCCTAGGCACAGTGGGTTCAGTTCAAAAGTACCTCCTTCCAGCAACAAAGGAACAAAAGAAAAGTTTGATCTTGCCTGCCAATTAGTGAACAAAAAGTAATTTGTGGAGTTAATGTCAAAAGGAAGGGGCATACAATGAACAGCCTGGTAGGCCTGGGGGGGGGGGGGGGGAAGCGTGGAGCCATCCCAACTAGACCCCAAGTTCCCACCCAAGAATGAGCCCTCTGGCTACTGATCAAGTTGCTTAAGGCCATTATCCCAGAGACTCAGAAACAAATCTTGGAACCCAACGGCTTTTGGCAGAAATCCCTCCAGATTTAATTATTGAAACTTCAGAATTCCAATAGTGACATCATATGCTATTCATAATCAACAATAGAAAACAAATTGTCTAATGTTGCCTTTTCGGCAGATCTGAGTGTTGGGATAAAATCCCAAATAATAATGGTGGGTCTGGTGTTGAAATATTGAATGTAATCAAAGTAGAGAGAGAATAATGTGGAAATCATCTGCCACACAGGTAGGGGGAGGGTGTGGGATGGGGGGCACACTGGGGTTTTTGGTGGTGGAAAATGGGCACTGGTGAAGGGACAGGCGTTTCATCATTGTATGACAGAGACTTAGACCTGAAAGCTCTGTAACTGCTCTCACGGTGATTCAATTAATAAATTTATATATATATATTTTTTTTAAAGGAAGGGGAATAAACAGAAAGGTACAAGTACTTTGTATTTTTCAATTCTGCCTCCGAGCCAACACTGACATGTTAACAATTACTGATTAGTCCATGGAAGATCAAGCTGTGAGTTGGGGATAAGGAAGAGTTCTCTTTGGAAAAAGTAGAAACCCATGCTGGAGATGTGGCAGAGAGCACGGTTCGCATATATAAAATCCTGGGTTTGATCCCTGGAGTATAGGGTTCCCCATCCAAGTAACTCAGGGTGTAGCCCTGTTGGCCACCAGCACTGGAAAGTCCTGACCCCTTCACATGCATATACAGTTGACTATCAGTGGGAATGGCTCCAGGTTCCCAAACACTACTGCAGAGGATCACTACACACACACACACACACACACACACACACACACACTCTGTAAAAAAACAAAATAAAAACATAAACAAAACTATATTATCATTGCCTCAGTCAAGTTTGTTGATTTTCCATTCTCACCTCTTAGATATACTCAGCTACCAAGCTCCATCACTAATCTAAATTGTGCTTCTTGTGGATCTATCACTCCTCACCTTGGCTAACGGGTCAAACCCAGCAGTGTTCACAACTTACTCCAGGCTCTCTCCATCACTTTTCAAGTCCTCAATTTCAACCTGGTTCTGATCTTCATTGCCAAATCTGTAAACTTACCAATATCTGAATTTTATGGAGCCGCAAACTTCTCTTTACTAAACTCTACATGCAGTGTCTTTGGGCAGACTACTGAAAAATATTCAGGAGTTCTCGCACCACAAAGAAGCTGCAGCTTAAACTTGGTGCATAGGTAGTTAAAGGTGTCTGTAGTTGAGACTCAATCTATAATTCAAGTCCAGGTTCAGAGAAATATTATTTAACTTGTAGTTATTACTTACATGCTGAGTTCCATCCTGGGATATGAGAGTAACTTGCTGACTCAAACCAGACTGGGTTACTGTGGCGACTTGTGTAGACACAACGTCATCCCCTTCTACACCTGTAACATATGTGATTTGGGACCCTTTAAGAACATCTTCACTTTGACCTGTTTAAAATAAATAAATCATTTACTGACCAATCACCCGAGCTCTTTGAAACCAAAGTTTATTTTAAATTTATGAAAACATACAAACTCAAGTGTATGTTTATATATTCTAAATCATGAAAATGGCTTCTAGAACCTTCTAATCCCTCTACCTCCTCTTTTGCAAGCCAAATCAAAACTTTCTATAAGAAATTTTAAGTGTTTGGACTGGAGAGACAGCACAGCGTAGGACAATTGCCTTGCATGTGGCAACTTGGGTTTGATCCCTGGCACTCCATATGGTTCCCCGAGTCCACCAAGAATAATTCCTGAGTGCAGAGCAAGCACTGAACACTACCAAGGGTGCCATGAGAAAAAGAAAGAGGGAAAGAGAGAAGGAACGAAAGAAAGGAGACAGAGAGAGAGAAAGAGGGGGAGGAAGAAAGGGAGGAAGAGAAAAGGGGGGAAGGGGAGAGAAGAAAGAAGGCAGGATGGGAAAAAAGAAAAAAAATTGAACTATCTGGGCTGGTGAGGAGGTTAAGACATTTGCTTTGCATGCAGCAGACCCTGCTTTGATTCCACCATCATCCACCAAAGAACACTACTAGTGACTCCTTGAGCCCCTGAATGTCACTAGGTGGGGCCCTACAATGCTACATCCCAAAGGAAAATAAAAAAGAAATTGTAAATGTTCTAATTCTGGTAGCCTTCCATCTCTTACTCTCAGACAGAGTCATCATACGATACTGTGCATATATGTGGAGGCACAGAGTGTGGGAAAAGAAGTGCACAGGAATACTGACTGGCAATAATCCTTCTAATGTTGGCAAGTATAAACCAAATTCTTGCAGCCACTTAAGGAGCTGTTAAAAACGATAAGACAATCTTCATAAACATTAACCACAAAACTAGAATGGAGTGTAAACACAAGCTCCTTACTCTTTAACACAAGTGACTGATTGCAAGTCTTCAGTACTCAATGGCATCATTGTGTAGAGACAGTAAATAGCATATTATCCAGAGTAAGGTTAATCATTTAACAAGTGATAGAGCAGAAACTCCTATCCCCTTCCTTATCTCATAAAGAGTCAGTAAGTAAACAGCAATTTCAACAAGCCCATTACTGCTACACTTGGCAACCAGGAAGATAACTGATCTCTCCTACCACTTCCAACTTCCCATAAAGGCAGAAAAAAGGTAAATGAGGATTTCTTTTGGGGGGAAGAATGCGTGTGTATATACAAAGGCACACTTTATTTCAAAGCAACTGAGAGAAGTTGGGGGTGCAGCACTACAAACTGGTGGAGGGAGTTCAGCTCCACATCCTCATGGAGTGTCCAGGCAGGGGCTGCTGCCAGTTTCTGCTACTGTCCAGCAACTGTTCAGTCTCCTCATGCTGAAGAAAGAGAGGTGAGCTCAGAGACCTTTAAATGGTCTCTGTTATTCACACAGGCTTGATTCAGGAGAGAGGACACCTGGAGTCAACTAGCTGAGGGAAATGTGCTGAATTATTAAATATTTACATTGAGAATTGCAGTAACTTTCATCACATTTTTACTTTATGTATGTGGACTCCCAAGAAGTGGTCAGGTGGCCTGGGGACCCCTTTGAGTGATTCTCCACCAAAAGGGCTGATGAGAGGAGAAGAGGATGCTCGGGCCACCCTAGTAGTAATTGGGGACCGTGAAGAGGTAGGAACTGAATGGAAAAGTGGGTGCCTTAACCCTTGTACTAACTCTTTGGCCTCGTTTTCAAAGTTTATTATTATTTTTTAGTTTTAAAAAATAACTAAACTAAAGCCCTGTGCTCAGGGCTTACTCCTGGCTCAGCGCTGAGGGATCACTCCTGGTGATGCTTGGGAACCATATGTAATGCATGGAGATCAAACCAGGGTAAGCTGCTGGAAGGCATCTTACCCCCGTGCATCTCTCTGGCCCCTATTTCCACATTTTTAAAAGAGTCACAGAGGTTTCATTTGTGTTTGAAGCAGCTGTTTGGTAAAGATCCTATATTTATAGAAACTAGATTACATTGCACGTATCCTCAGAACAGTCATGAAACAATATATGATTGATTTTGCCTCTCCACTCCACTCCTACCCACTTCCAACTGGGATGGACTCTGCAACAGTAGACAAATAAACATGATTTCTATGTAACACATGCCGGTACTGGACAGATGCAATCAGATATTCATCAAATTTAAAATTAGCAAAATGACAGTATAGTACAGACTTTCTTTAGAACATAAGAAATTGTGACAATCTAAAATATCAACACTTAAGGAAAAGACCAAAGAAGCTTAAAAAAGAAGGAATGGTCTGAGGTTGGAGAGACAATACAGGGAAGTTTAGGTATCTGCCTGACACACAGCTGACTCCAGTTTGATCCCTGGCACTCACTGGTCCCTCAACTATTGCCAGGAGTGACCCCTAAACACAGAGCCAGGAATGGCTCCTGAGCACTACTGGTTATTGTCCCCCAACCTCAAACATACCACCCCTGCCCCGTGAATGTGTAGGGCCTGGCAGTTGGCTCAGTGGCAAAGAGCACCTGCCTTGCAAATGAGGCCCTGAGTTCGGTCCCTGTGCTACCTGCATGCACTCAGAGCAGTTCTTTAGACTCTGCTGTCTGGTAAACTCCCTTCCCCTGAGCCCTACACTAGTGCGTGATCTCTGGCGCACCACAGCCAGGTATGCATGAGCACTGCCACATGGACACTAAAAGATGTATGAGCCCTGGGGCACAGGCATAAGCCCTAGAAAGCACATATGTGAGCACCGCAACTAGAAAGGGCAAACACCTCAGATGTGTGCGTGATCTCAGGCCATCACAACAGCAGCAGAAAAATATTAAACACAGAGGGGCTGGAGCAAAATTACAGTGGTCAAAGCATTTGCCTTGCATGCGGCTGACCCAGGTTTGATCTCCCTGACATCCCAGATGGTCCCCCAAACCTGTCAGGAGTGATCCCTGACCTGAGCACAGAGCCATAAGTACTGCTGGATGTGCCACCCCCCAAAAAAAAAAGACTACTAAAACTGACTTGGACATCATTACAGCCTGCTTTCCAACTGGAAGGGTTTCTACAATAATATCTAACTGTGCATACTTACATTGCTCAGCTACAAAATAAAGAACTAGAGTTCAGCAGGATAGTACAGGTATTACATGTAGCAGACTAGCTTGCTCTCTGGCACTGCCAAGAGTGATTCCTGAACACTGAACTGGGAGTAAGCTCTGAGCACCACTGGTTATGGCCCCCAAACCAACCAAACAAAATCATGAATTACTGGAAATTATTTGATCAGGGAGTGAATAATTTTAATCTGCAACTCGTTTACTTTACTTAAATTTTTCAGTGCTTCAAATGGAAAGGGTATTTCTTTGATTTTTCAAATTAACTTCATTTAGGAGGTATTCAGTGAAACAGGAAGATGAAACTGTTTTGGGAGAGATGCCTCCTCACCCCGCACCAGGCTGACTTCATCCAGAGTACCTTGAAGGGGGGTAGATGAGTCTCTCTGCCTGACCCAACAGAACCCTGGCAGCTGCAAACTCCAGAACCCAATCTCTGCCATGCTCACTGCCGATCTTCACAGGCTTGGGATGGGCCCTTCACACAAGAGAATTAAATCCACTGAAAAACCCAGGTATGCAGGTTTTGTGACTGAACTTCTAGGTTTGCACAGATTTGGGAATGGACACCCTCCTCCCATCTCCCTGTGCTTCCCAGTCCCTGGCAGTCACCCCCACGAACTGCCTCTGGCACCATATAAGCCCATTAATGGCCATGGTCCAGAGACTCACAAATAAATCTCAGAAGAGAGCAACACGCTGCTGAGATGCCTCCAGACTTCAAAATCTCCATACAGTTAAAAATGCAACTCCAGCTCTAGCACTGTGTTTAAAATTTTAGAATTCGGGGCTGGAGCGATAGCACAGCGGGTAGGGCATTTGCCTTGCACACAGCCAACATGGCCAACCCAGGTTCGATTCCCTGCATCCCATATGGTCCCTGGAGCACCGCCAGGAGTAATTCCTGAGTGCATGAGCCAGGAGTAACCCCTGAGGATCGCCGGGTGTGACCCAAAATGCAAAAAAAAAAAAAAAAAAAAAGAATTCCTCGAGCACATGGCCACAGTCATACTCCGTGCAACATCTCATGCTTGGTATACCATATGCCAATGATATACCAAGAGTATCACTGTTACTATCATCCTATTATTCATCGATTTGCTTGAGCAGGCACCAGTAACATCTCCATTCATCTCAGCCCTGAGATTTTAGCAGCCTCTCCTTACTTGTCCTTCCCAACGGTGCCACACTGGAGGCTCTTTCAGGGTCAGGGGAATGAGACACATCATTGTAACTGTTTTTGGCATACCGAACACACCACATGAGCTTGCCAGGCTCTGCTGTGCAGGCAGAAGACTCTCGGTAGCTTGCTGGGTTCTCTGAGAAGGAGAACTAGACTATAAGAGGTCCCCCAAAGAGCATAAAAAAAACCCACACAGAACCCCAAACATACTGTTAATGATTTTGTTTTGTGGCCACAGCTGGCAGTGGTGGGGGGGCTTGGAGGGGACCCTATGCGGTGCTGGGGATCAAACCAGGTCTGCCACATGCAAGGCTGACACCCTTTCCCCTGAATTGTCGCTTGGGCCCCACATTGTTTAATTTGGAAAGCTCGTTAATACCAACCGTGCAATGTCTGCATAGGAGGAACCTCACGGACAAATGAGGCTCAGCGGAGCGTCTGGATGATGCTGACCAGCCAGCACCCACACCGGCTCTGCATGTGCTGCTGAGTGCCAGTCACGCCTTGCTTTCCTGCCTCTCCAGGGTCAAGAAAATTGAAATTTTAAAGTTCTGTCTCTTTTTTCCTTTTCTTCTGTTTTTGGGTCACCCCTGGCAGTGCTCAAGACTCACCCCTGGGTCTTGAAGGATCACTTCTGGCAGGGCTTGGGGGATTGTATGGGGTGCTGAGGATCAAACCCGGGTGGGCCGCCTGAGGCGAGTGCCCTCCCTGCTGTACTGTCTCTCTGGCCCTAATACTTCAGGATTCTGGCTCACAAGGCCCAGGTAATGGTGTATCGGAGGTCTTTCTTGGTAATTAAAAAGTCTCTTGGGGCTGGAGTGATAGCACAGCGGGTAGGGCATTTGCCTTGCACGCGGTCGACCCGGGTTCAATTCCCAGCATCCCATATGGCCCCCAGCACCGCCAGGTAGGAGCAATTCCTGAGTGCATGAGTCAGGAGTAACCTCTGAGCATCGCTGGGTCTGACCCATAAAGCAAAAAAAAAAAAAAAAAGTCTCTGTTAGGTAAAAAAGACACAGTACAGGGGTCAAAGCCTTTGCCTGGCACCACACCACATTTGATGGGATGTAAAATAGAAGGCAACCAATCTTGATAAATATAAAAACAAGACTGTTGAACACTGTCCTCCCATTGTTCATCGATTTGCTCGAGCGGGCCCAGTAACATCTCCATTGTGAGACTTGTTACTGTATTTGGCATATTGAATACGTCACGGGGAGCTTGCCAGGCTTTACTGTGCAGGCAAGATATTCTAGGTAGCTTGCCAGGCTCTCCGAGAGGGGCAGAGGAATCGAAACTGGCTCGGCCGGGCTGGCTGCGCGCAAGGCAAATGCCCTACCGCTGTGCTATCGCTCCAGTATATACGTATGTATTATATATTATATATACATATACTGTCACTGTCCTCCCGTTGATCATCGATTTGCTCGAGCGGGCCCAGTAACGTCTCCATTGGAGACTTTGTTGTTACTGTGTCTGGCGTATCGAATACGTCACGGGGAGCTTGCCAGGCTCTGCCGTGCGGGCGAGATACTCTTGGCAGCTTGCCGGGCTCTCCGAGAGGGGCAGAGGAATCGAACTCGGGTCGGCCATGTTGGCTGCGTGCAAGCCAAACGCCCTACCGCTGTGCTATCACTCCAGCCCCCATATACGTATACATACATATATATATACATATATATGCATACAAGGCTCAATCTGTAACAACATATTAGTGATCTTTTATATAGGGGTTTAATGGCTCCAAGGTGAGATACAAAAATTTTCACACATTTTCCTCTTTGGATCACTTTTAGTGGATTATTTGTAATAAGCAATACAAAATAAATTATTTAGCATCTGCCTTTGGGGCAGGCTTGAGTGGTGGTGGGAAAACTTGAAATAATGGTGGCGAGACTGTTGTTAGAATATTGAATGTAATAAACTATTATGAACAACTTTATAAAAATTAATTTTTTTAAATGAGCTAAAAAGTTTTCATTTGCACTTCATTTCAAAACTTTTCAAGAAAAGCTGGAAGCACAGGAAAGTCTATTCTGTTTCTTCACATGTTAATATATGCAGCTATTTTCTCATTTGATTTCTGCTTTCTTTGTTCCTTTTTTCATAAGAATAACTGCATTTACCAAATTTAACTTTTCTTTTAAATCCATACAAGCATATTTTTTGAAGTCAAACTTTGTGTTAGCTGGGAAGCTAAAATTTGTCCCAGATTGTGTATACTGTATATTAACAAAAAAACTGTTTTGGTTCTTGGGTCATACTTGGGGATTTTGGGCTACTCCTGGTTCTGTGCCTGGGGGTTAGCCCTGGCAGGAGACTGCACTGTTGGAGTCTCCCACACGCAGAGCTTAGCCTGTCGAGCTCACTCTCAGCTCTGACACACTATGTTTTGGAAAAACCTACTTTGTTTTACCTGTTTTCTTATATGACTTCAATGAAATCAGAGGTTATAAATGTCTAAAACAATTTATCCAACAGTTCAATCTTACTGAAATGAATGGCTTTGTCTCCTACAACACTAATAGCACATGAATCAACTGAAAGTTATTGAGGGGGGCTGGAGAGATAGGACAGCACGCAGGTGCTTGCCTTTCATGCTGCTGATCTGGGACAGATCCCCTGCACCCCAGATGGTCTCCTGAGAACTGCCAGGAGTGATTCAGGAGTAAGCCCTGAGCACCGCCTGAGTAGACTCAAACAACCAGAGAGCTTCACCACTCTTACCATTTTACCATTAATATCAACACCCAAATAATCTCTCTGCCTTCGGCTCCTCTCCAGTCTCACTTCACACCACCTTCCCATGCAGAGTATGACACTGGTCCAGCCTCCTTCACTCTCTCTGATTTACTCTGCTCTCTCCAATCTCCAGGCTTCTCACATGTTATTCCATTTATTAAAGGGGCTGGAGCGACAGCACAGCGGGTAGGGTGTTTGCCTTGCCTGCAGCCGACCCGGGTTCAATTCCCAGCATCCCATATGGTCCCTCAAGCACCGCCAGGAATAATTCCTGAGTGCAATGCCAAGAATAACCCTGTGCATCACCGGGTATGATCCAAAAAGCCCAAAAAAAAAAGTTATTTTGCTTCTGCACCTCTTCTTCTCTCACCAAACCTTTTGCCTCCTCACCTCATGAACCTATACTCACCTTAAAACTCTTCCAAGCTCATTTCTTCAGAGAAGAACCATCTTTGATTTTACACACTCGACAGTGCTATGTAGACTGTAGGTGTCGAGTCCAAGTTGGCTGTGTGCAGGACAGATGCCCTGGGGGCCCGCTGTCCCCAAGAAACCTTCTCTGACCTCCCAGAATAGACTGCAGTTCACCCCTTAGGCATTCCAGAGCTCCATGTGCTTTCTCTTGGCAGCATTTATTAATTACAGTGGCAAACTGTGCTAATAAAACTTTGTTTTCTTTTTTCTAGAAGCTGATATGAATCATAAATCATGCTTATAAAATGTTGGCTCCCAAACACAAAGCTAAATAAATTGGGCAAACCCTCACCTGGGGGAGGTTCAAAGAAGGCTTCCTGCTCCTCCTCGATGGGCTCGGTGTCGTTGTGGGCCGTCCGTTTGTGCATGGCCAATGTGGAGATCTGCTTGTAGGTCTTTCCACAGTGGTTACAGTTGTACGGTTTGGAGTGAGTATGAACGACATGATGTTTGTATAAACTGGAATATTCTGTAAACCTTTTGTCACATCCAGGGACTGTGCATACATATGGCTTTTCCCCTAAATGAAATAGACAAAAAAAAAAAAAAAATGAAGGCAAAACAAATAGTTGGCAGATCCCTCTCTATCTTGCCATGAGAGAATACACACACAACTTTTGTATGGTTTTTGATTTGGCTCAAAAGTGGTTGGTATCTGGAATGTGAGTCCTTTGCCTGAGTAGTTTTCTACATCAAGAGATGAGAAGTGTCAGGAGGGAGATGTTGCCCAGTTTAACTACGCTTTAATGAGACTAATTGCTACCTATAGTTAGACTATTTAGATAGCATCAAGATTTATACTGATAACAACAATAAATGCAACTATTACTATAACAAGTACAGTTTACCCTAAGGGTTTGTCTCTCTCTCTCTTTTTTTTTTTTTGATCAAATTCAAGGTTCATATAGAAAGGATACACTTTACATTCCTTGTCCCTGCCCTAGGGTTCTTTGTTTTTGCTTGTTACTTTGTTTTGTTTTGGGGTGATATCAAGGGGTGCTCAGAGACCTCAGACAGTACTGAGGCTCAAACCCAGGCTACCTGCATGCAAAGCATATGTGCTCCATTCTGTTAAGCTATGTTACTAGTTTCCCTAATGGCAATTTAAAAAATGACTTTTGAAAAAGAGTTTTAGACATAGTTTGGACTAGTACCAGTTTGGTAATATGAAAGGAATTCCATGGTTCACATTAATTTCAGTTGGCTTCTCACATCCAATCTCAGATACTATTCATCAAAAACAACTAGGAAAAGCAAAGGGAAGATAACACTGTTATATATTTTTTGTCTGCTTGCTGTTTGGGCTACACCTGGTGATGCTCAGGGCTTACTCCTGGCTCTGCGCTGAGGGATCACACTTGGCAGTGCTCGGGGGACCATATGGGGTGCCAGAGATGGAACCCAAGTTGGCCAAGTGCAAAGCAAGCACCTTATCTGCTGTACTCTCTCCAGTCCTGCTGTATTGTGTTCGTGGCACCACAGGAGGGTCTCTGAGGCACCAAGTGTGAACACAAACAAGCGTGCACAAACCCTGGGACAATAAAACAATAGGAAGGGGGCACAGAAGAAGACTGTAATAACAACAAACATCTTTTCTAATAATAATGCCGTAATATTAGAAATCAACAACCAAAATAGGAAAGAACAAAACACACGGAAACCAAACAATATGCTCTGGGCCAGGCACAGAGTTTAATGCTCTGCATGTGGGGCTCCAGGTTCAATTGCTGGCACCCACCACATGGTGCCCGAACTGCCACAGGAGCAGTGCCCCAGCAATGAGCCAGAAGTAGCCCCTGAGCACCCGTGAGTGTAGCTTAAAAAAAAAAAATCAACAAAAATACGCTTCTGGAAAAACTGTTGGATCAGTGAAGATATCATATGAGAAATAAAAAATTACCTGGAGGGGGGCAAGAGAGATAGCTCATATGGCTGGGGTGCACGCTTTGCATGCAGGAGGTCCAGGTTCGAACCCTGGCACCACTGGAAGTGATCCCTGAGCAACAAGCCAGTAGCAGCCCCTGAACACAGACAGATGTTGCCAAAAATGGGGGGTGGGGGGGAATTACCTGGAGAATGACAACAAAAAAATGAGACAAACAACAAGATCCTATGGGATGCAGCAAAAACATCTACATAAAAAGTATAAAGATATTGGGGCTGGAGTGATAGTACAGCGGGTAGGGCGTTTGCCTTGCATGCGGCCAAGCCGGGTTCAATTCCCAGCATCCCATATGGTCCCCTGAGCACCGCCAGGAGTAATTCCTGAGTGCATGAGCCAGGAGTAACCCCTGTGCATCGCCAGGTGTGACCCAAAAAGCAAAAAATAAATAAATAAATAAATAAATAAATAAAGGATAAAGATATTGTAAAATAACAAAACAGGGACAAGAAAGATGGTTCAAAAAACTGGAGCTCATGCTCTGCATGCTGGAGACTGAAGTCTGACCCACTACACAGACCTCCAAGCACAGCTGAGAGTGATCCCTGAGCACTATGCAGTAATAACCCTCACTCTTCACCATAAGCACTGCTGGCCCCAAAACCAAAAAACACGAATTCTCTCACTCACTGGAAGAAACTCTGCTCATAAGGATTCTGAGTAAAAAAAAAAAAAATTAAAAACCAAATTAGAAAATTAATTCTAGAGATACGTACTAGCACCTCCATAATCATAAACAACATCATTCTCAGTAGCTGAAACAGAGAACTGCAATGTCCATCAAGAAATGATTAGATGGGGCCGGAGTGATAGTACAGCAGGTAGGGCGTTTGCCTTGCACACGGCCGACCTGGGTTCGATTCCCAGCATCCAATATGGTCCCCCGAGGACCGCCAAGAGTAATTACTGAATGCAAAGCCAGGAGTAACCCTGTGCATTGCACTGCCGGGTGTGACCCCCCCAAAAAAGAAAGAAATGATTAGATAAAAAAGCTGAGGTATATATACTCAATGAAATACTTCTCTACTACTTAAAATTTATATATATATACATATATATATGAAAGTGCACCCTTTGGCACAAAAATGCATGGATCTTGAGGCTATTATGTAAGTGAAACAGTATGAAAATGAAAAAAATTATTGGATGAGTTCACTCATGTGGGATATCAATTACTAAAGGAAATGAAAAGGCAAGAAAAAAAAACCCTCAATACTAGTTAGCAAAAACTATGGTGGTTATTAGGGAGAAGGGGAGGGAGAAATAAGTAGAGGGGCCAGAGAGAGAGAGAGAGAGAGAGAGAGAGAGAGAGAGAGAGAGAGAGTACTGTGGGTAAGATGCTTGTACTTTCAATCCTTTGAATCCCATATCCCTGAGTATTGCCAGGAGTGATCCCTGAAAAGAGCCAGGAGTAAGCCCTGAGTACTACCAGGGTGTAGCCCCCCAAACAAACAAAAAGCAGCAGAGGGGTTTTTTTTGGTGGGGCAAAGATATTGGAACTTTGGTGGAGTGACAACTGCACACATAGGTAGATATTGAATAAATCCACTGTAAACAAAAACCTCAAGACAGAAAAATAAAACTAGGTGGGTAATGACAGGTAAATCCAACCCAGAAAAGGGACTACATTGATATTTTGACTGAACAAAACTACCACTAGGTGGCATCAAGCCACAGATGAGATGTAAATAGATCTGAATGGCATTTTTGAGGAGCTAGTGCACTGCATCAGCTGGTTCATGTGAGCTACCATTATTTTTTCTTTTTGGGTCACACCCGGCAATGCATAGGTGGGGTTACTCCTGGCTTTGCACTCAGGAATTACCCATGGCAGTGATCGGGGGACCATATGGGATGCTGGGAATTGAACCCGGGTCAGTCACATGCAAGGCAAGCTGTATCTTGCTGTACTATCACTCCAGCCCCACAACTGATCAACACTGAGAGCATTTTATGCATTTGGATCATTGTACTCCATGCTGAGTATAATGCGGGAATTCACTGTATTATAGACTTGATAAGATAGCTGCTCTTATCTTCTATTCCAGCACACATCTTTGGTTAACAGTTAAAACGACTTATTGATGTTATAATGAGAATGTTTTAGGACAGAGAGATAGCTTAATAAGGAGAGTGCATGTATGCTTTGCATGCAGGAGGCCCAGGTCTGATTTAATACCAAGTACCAAGCAACACGAGGAGCAGCCCTGGGCACAGAAGTAACTACTCCTGAGGTCTGTGGGTCATGGCTCCAAAACAAAACAAAACAAAACAAAACAAAACAATCCAATTTGAAAAGTGAGCAACAGATCCAAATAGATATTTCTTCAAAGAAGACATTATAACAGCGGGTAGGGTATTTGCCTTGCACACGGCCGACCTAGGTTCGATCCCCAGTGTCCCATATGGTCCTCTGAGCACTGCCAGGAGTAGTTCCTGAGTGCAGAGCCAGGAGTGACCCCTGAGCATCGCTGGGTGTGACCCAAAAAAGGAAAAAAAAAACCAAAAAAAACAAAGAACACATTATAGTGGTCAATAAGCACATAAAAAGATGGCTGACATCAAAGCACACCTGTAAAGTGCAAATTACAAGCACTGTGAGGACAAGAATGATCGTATAGTGAGTAAAGCCTTTCATGCAGCTGACTCTGGTTTGATTCTTAGAGTCCCCCAAGCAAGACCAGGAATGACCCCTGCACACAAAGCCAAGAATAACCTTGAATACCTCCAAGTATGATTCCCAAACATAACACAAATAAAAAAGAACCATGAGTTGAATAACACCTTCCCACCCACCAGTATAGGGTCCAAAAGACAAATAATAATAACTCTCAGCTAGGCTGTAGAGAAACTGGAACCCTTATATATTGCTGATGAGATTATAAAATGGTGTGGTAACACTGGAAAACAATTTGAATATTTCTCAAAATATTAAACGCAGAGTTATCACATGATCCACAATTCCACTCGTAGGCATATTCACAAAGAGAAGTGAAAAAAATATGTCCACAGAGACTTGTGTATGAAGTTTCAAAACAGCATTCTTTATAGTCAAAAAAAATGTGAAACTAGGGCTGGAGAGATAGCACAGCAGGCAGGACATCTGTCTTGACAAGTATGACCTTGGTTCAATCCATAGCACCCCATATAGTTCCCTGAGCCTACCAAGAGTGATCCCTGCGTGCAAAGCCAAGAATAAACCCACCACTGCCAAACAAATGTAAATACAAAAGCAACAAGTGAATGGATAAGGTATAATGTATCTATCTAATGGACCACTATTCAGTCAGTAATGAAGGAACTAATAACATATGATGTGCCAGAAAGCCAAAAACATTATTCCAGGTGCCAGAGAGATAGTACGGGATGTGGCTGACCTAAGTTTGATCCCCGGCATACCATATGGTCCCCCGAGAACTGCCAGGAGTGATCTCTGAGCACAGGGGAAGGAGTAACCCAAGCATTGCTGGGTATAGCCCCCAAACACACACACGTATTATTCCAATATAAAGAGGATGAGACATAAATCATCAAATATGGAATAGCTCATTATGTATGAAATGGACAAATCCAAGGAACAGAATATAAATTAGTCACCATTTCTGGGTGTCAGGTAAAGATTTAAGAAGACAGCTAATAAGCAAAGAGCTTCTCTTAGGTGGGATAAAAAAGCTCTAAAACTGGATTGTGCGGTAGTTATCACTATCAGTTATTATTTATGGTTAAATCATATACTTTTTTATTTTTCTTTTTGGGTCACACTCAGTGGTGCTCAAGGGTTACTCCTGGCTCTGCACTCAGGAATTATTCCTGGCGGTGCTCAGGGGGCCATAAGGGATGTTGGGGATTGAACCCGGGTCGGCCGCATGCAAGGCAAATGCCTTAACTGCTGTGCTATCGCTCCAGCTCCTGAATAATATACTTCAAATGGATGAATTGAACAGCATGTGAATCATACCTCAACAAAGCTGTTTTTGTTTTGTTTTGATTTATCAAACTAAAATGAAACCAGAACTTCACACACCCACAGAGGGAAGAGGCCCATTCCTCTTCTCTGAGCATCTTAAGATCCAGGTTAGGAATTGCCTTTATCAGGAAAGCACAAAACACAGACTGATGTACACTCTGACTTAATTTCGTAATTCTTCTATCTGCGCTCTATGCTCTAGTAATAAGGAGCCACCTAATACTCCCAACTAAACAATGGTATTTCATACCTTCGTGTCTTTATCCATAATATTTTCCTTGCCAGAATACACCATTTCACTTAGTAAACTTTAGGGCATTTGACACTGAAAAAGTCAAATTCTAGCGGCCCATCACACCAAGAGCCCCCTACAATATGTGCCCCACTCTCCCATGGCAGCACAACCCAGTACATGCTGTAAACACCGTGCTAAGGATCTCAGCTCACTTTCCATGAGCAGGATATGATGGCGTCAAGCAAATTGGCAGGCTCATGGCCATTTAGTGACCCACGTTTAAAAAAAATAAAAGGCAGGTCTTTTGCCAATTTGAGAATTTATCTAGAAGGATCGGTATTATTGGATCTTCAGAGTTACAACAGTGGTGTGACTTTCTCAGGTAAAGGAGAAACGAACAGTCTTTTGAACAAAGTGGAAGAAAGAACAAAGAGGTGAGCATCGGCCATAGTTTGAAGAGGGGCCACAGAAAGTTACTGGCCAGTGCTGAGGCCACCAGCCCGAGTATGATACGAGTGAAGCAGTGTATGATAAAGATATACTGTGTTATAAGAATATTAAAATTAAAAAAGAATGTTAAAATTCTACACGTGAGGGCTGGGGATGTGGCTCAAGTTGTAGGTGAGACTTTGAGTTTATCTCTGGCACTGCATGGTCCCTCAGAGATCAAACTCTGGGTTCAAACACCTTTGCTGTGGCTCCCAAAGTTAAAAAATATATTTATTTTTAAATACTATATGCCAAAAGAAGTAGAAAGTTTCTCATCCTCAGAGGGAATGTTAATTTGGGAGAGTATGACCTAGCATATACCTGGGCCATCTTTTGCAATGGTGAAGAGCCACTGGCAAAAAAAGACACTGATTTTGAGAGGGAGAGACAGGGGCATATTAAGGGAAATAGTCAAACTAAAAGCAAAGAAGGTCACTATGATACAGACTGACCAAATGTTGACCGATGAATATAGGAAATATAATTTTATTTGGGAGCTAGGGGATAGGGATTGAGTCACACTCAGAGGTGCTGAGGGGTTTCTTCTAACATTGCTCAGGTGACATGTGGCATTAGAGGTCAAATCTATGCCCCGGCACACAAAGCATGTGCTCCATGGAGCATTTCTCTGGCCTAAGAAACAATCATTTTGTTTGTAGACCATACCTAACAGGGCTCAGGGGCTACACCTGGCAGTGCTTGGGGGACCATATGTGGTGCTGGATTCAAAACACAGTCGTGACATTAGTTGTATGACAGGCAAGTAATTTTACCTTTATATATTCTCTTCAGCCCCAAGAAATACTATCTTAAGGGACCAGAGTGATAGTACACAGAGCAGGATGCTTGCATGCAGATGATCTGGGTTTGATCCCTATACAGAGCCAGAACTAAGCCTGAGCACCACTGGGTATGGCCCCCAAATACCAAAAGAATAACAACAACCAAAAATACCTTACCTGGCACCACTGGATGTGGCCCCCAAACAAAAAAAGAAATACAATCTTAAAGACACTGCTATCAGCATCGTGTGTCAGGTTTCTGAACTCAATTCCAATGAGTGTGTGGAGGTTTCCCTCCTTCAATAAGCAATTCTTAGATATCAGCAAGGTGTTCAAGAATTCAACTTAATTCTGACACTACCCAGAGATAATAAATGATTCCACAGGTAAGGGGCACAGTCTTCTGAAGACCATGCTATAATTCAGATGCAACACCCAACTTCAATCTGTGGTCTGTGTTTCTACACAACCAGTTATATAAACCATTGGCTTCCTACCAAATGATAGTACTCATGGAGTTTAGAAAGAAAAACCAAAATGAAGAAGTGAACTACATAAAACAAAAATAAACTTTTGGATGGTCAGAGCAGTGTACAGCAGGTAGGGAGCTACCTTGCATGCAGCTAACCCAGAGTCAATCTGCAGCATCCCACCTGGCTCCCCTGAGCACTGCCAGGAGTTATCTCTAAGTGCAGAGCCAAGGGTAAACCCCGAGGACTGCTGGGTATGGCCCCCAAATATCAAAATACAAACAAAAACCTTTGGACGATAAGAGAAAGTCAACTTCCTCCGGAAAGCCTCCCCTGAGTGGCTCTCCTTTATCCCAATGATCACTGCTCCCCTCTCAATCCCACAGCATCGTGTCATATAAAGGGAGACAATGAGGGGCCAGGGATGTGGCCTGGCGATCAAGGGCATGTCCCAGTGCTCAGGAGTCAGGTTTGATACCCAACAGTCAAAACTAAAAGATTAAAATAAAGAGTGACACAGAATACTTACTATCTCTAATAGTTTTTCTACTATATCTTGCTACCTCAACTGCTCTTGACAATACTCACCTATTTCTGTATCTCTGATGCTTCGCAAACAGGTGTTCAAACACAAAGGAAATGCTCACAACTATTTGTAGAGTACATATATGCTAAGGTGAAAGCATTTTAAGTTGCCTACTTGCTCTTCTTTATGCCAAGAGGCAGGAAGAAGTAATTACTTAGAAATGACTTATGGGGTGTCAGGAGTTAAATTTGAAAGTCAAAGACCAAGAAAAAAAATCAAGACTGTTACCTGTATGTATCCTCACATGGTTTTTATAATTGGTTGCACTGGCAAAGGCTCGCCCACAGCCTGGTTCTGTGCAGTAGTAAGGTCTTTCTCCTGTGTGTGTCCTTATATGAACTTTCCTGATATTTGATGTGGTAAAAGACCTACCACAGCCTTCAAAAGGACATTTAAAGGGTCTTTCTCCTGAAAATACAAAAGGAAATAAATTAGATGGTGCAAATATAGATAGGAGATTTACATGTCCTATCATGCAGTTGTGTCTAGGATTAACACTCAAGACTAGTCTTCCTGTATGGAACTTCCCTGTCAGGTATTTCTTTTCTTTTCCCATGAAACAGTATTTTTTATCCCAAATGTAAATTTACAAAGAAAAACCTGAATGGCATTCAGATTCATCCTTTATTACATTACTGTCCAAGATGAAATCATCTATGTAGGCACATTAAAAACCAAACTGAAGGCGGAGCAGTTTCCCTTGCATGTGGCTGAACCAAGTTCGATCCCCAGGATCCCATATGATCCCCCAAGCACCGCCAGGAGTAATTCCTGAGTGCAAAGCCAGGAGTAACCCCTGAGTATTGCTGGGTGTGACTCAAAAGCAAAACAAACAAACAAAACAAAAACAAAACTGCAGGCTAGAGCAATGGCAAGTGGATAGGGCATTTTCCCTGCATATATCTGACTCGTTTAATTCCCAGCACTCCATGATACCCTGAGCCCTGCCAGGGTATTCCCTGAGTAGAGTCATGCATAAGCCTTGAGTATGACCCCCCCCATTTTATGCAAAAAAATAATTTATAGGGCGGGGGTCAGAGAGATTGTAACAGTGGGTAAGCCCTTGCCTTGCATGCGGCTAACCTGAGTTTGATACTCTATACCCCATATGGTCCGTTAAGCCTTGCCGGGAATGACCCCTAAGTACAGAGCCAGGAGTAAGCCCTGAGCACAGGCAGATGTGGCCACAAAACAAACAAGCAAAACAAAAATGAATTGAGGGGCCAAGGATGTAACTTAGCAGCGGAGCAACTGCTTTGCAAATATGAGGCTCTGGATTCTGTGTCCAGCACCAGTAAAAATAAAAAAAAAGCTTAAAAAGTAAACTGAAGGCCAAGACCATAGTTGAAAGGACTAAAGCATATGTCCCACATCTGATCCTTGGCATTGTATGGGTCCCTGAGCACTGCTGGAAGAAAGCCCTGACCTACCAAAAGTAGACCCTGGGCACCACTGGGAGTGCCGACCCCCAGCCCTCCACAAGAAAGTTAAAAATTACTTGAAAAAAAATCAAAACATAAGTGTTTTCATTTTGGTTAAATAAAATTGACATGCTCACTAAAAAAAAAAAATTGAAATTGAAATGTCCCTAAGTACAAAATCATTTAAAATAAATTTGGGATCATATCTGAATTAAAATCTAAAATTTAGTGACTTATAGTATTTTCTATAAAAATCTGCTAAACTATTTCATAATAATACTTAGATGTATTTGGGGCAAAATTATCACACCATTAATAAAGTCTCAAAGTAAAAGATCTTACACTATATTAGTGAACAACTTATAATAGCATTTTTTTGGGAAAGTGGGGGTCAATCTGGGTCACAGCAGAAGTGATAAGGTACTAGTTCCAGTTCAGTGGTTCAACTTGGTGCTTGAAATTTGCTCTTTCGAAGTGTTCAGGATCATATGGATCCAGGGATCACACCTGAGCTTTCCACGTGCAAAGGATGCACACTAGTCCTTAGAACTGTCTTCCCAGTCCAATAAGAAACTTATCTGGTGCTGGAGAGATAGTATACCAGATAGGGCGTTTGCCTTGCACACGGCCAACCTGGGTTCATCCCTGGCATCCCATATGGTCCCCCAAGCACCGCCAGGAGTAATTCCTGAGTGCAGAACCAGGAGTAACCCCTGAGCATTGCTAGGTGTGACCCAAAAAGGAAAACAAACAAACAAACAAACAAAAAATAACTTATCCAGGAGCCAGAATGATAGTACAGTGAATAGAGCACTTGCTTTGCAAGCAGCTAATCTAGATTCTATCCTAAGCATCCCATATGGTCTTCCAAGGCCGCCAAAAGCAGTTCCTGAGTAACTGCCAGGAGTAACTCCTGAGTACCACACTATGACCCGAAAACAAGACAGTACTTAAAAAATAAAAGTTATCATGTTTCTGAAATGCTTCCAACTCTAACCCACAGCAAATATGTTTCCTTATAATCCAATTCCACAAATAATACACAATTACACAAAGAAAGGGCAAAAAGAACAAAGTATCATTTGGGAAAAGATAAAGCAAATTGAATGATGAGGAAAGAATCATAGAAAGTAATTTCTCATTCAGGGGGGCTATTGGGGTTTTCAGACGCTTTCTCTCCCAGCAGTTCAATAAAGAAGTGATACAAATACTGAGAAAGATTTGGGTACATTAGATTCTGGTCTCAGGTGGGCTACCAAGTAGATGTATAATCCTAAATAAATAGAACTGCTACTCAGATAAACTGAAACTGAGATAACCCATTTACCTGAAAACTAAGAGAGCTGGAGGTCTATGGCTATTATTCATCAATATTCGGGACATGGGCCCCTTCGAGAATGTAACAAAGTTATGGCCCCTCATCCTGGTAAGAAGCAGATATACACAGTGACTCCCTGAATCCTCCCAGTGTCCCTCCTCCTTGTCCCCCTCCCCTTAGTGGATGAGAAAGTCCTGGCCTAGAGAAGATACTCCCTCACAACAGTACCTGTATGAGTTCTGATATGTTTCTGAAGATCTCCTGAAGTTTTGAAAGACTTAGTACAATTATCTTCTGAACACCGATATGGCTTTTCTCCTGTATGAGTTCTAACGTGACTTTTTAATCCGTAACCTTTAAGAAAAATTTAAAAGAATTTTGATTAGATCCCCTTATTAATCACACACATTGAGATTCATCGACTAAAAGATATACTAAATGCCAAGTAACTCATAATGCTACGTTTAACAGAATTATAACAGAGTAATTTAAAAATGGGTAAGAAGGGGCTGGAGTACTAGCACAGCAGGTAGGGCATTTGTCTTGCATGCAGTCGACCCAGGTTTGACTCCCAGTATCCCATATGGTCCCCTGAGTACCGCCAGGGGTAATTCCTGAGTGCAGAGCCAGGAGTAAACCCTGTGCATCGCTGGGTGTGACCCAAAAAGCTAAAAACTAAACTAAAATAAATAAAAATAAAAATGGATAAGAAGATGGGTCGTTCAGGACCACTATGCTGAAAATTTGGCAGTTTAATCTTCATGTAAATGAGCTTATGTGTTTTTCTTTTTAAATGTACTTCAATCTTCAGGTTTAGGAGCACCTCAAGAAAATTTTCTTAAAAAGGACAATAGACAGACTTGGGCACACTGGTGACGTTGAAGTTATACAATAGCTTTGTACATCAAAACCATAAATGTAATCACTACTGTAAACATTATCCAAGCTATAAATAAAAATGAAATAAATTTAATTGAAGTTTCAGAACAGTGAAACTTGCCAGGATCTTAATAATGTCCATAATTCATACCCCACAAATCTTTTTTATTAATTTTTATTAGTGAGACATCATGAGGTACAGTTGTAGACTTACAAATTTTTGTGCTTGGGTTTCAATTATATAATGATCAAATACCCATCCCTCCACCAGTGCCCATTTCCCACCACCCTGGATCCCAGTATCCCTCCCACCCCCTTCCCCCCATCCCCCCCTGCCTCTGGGGCAGGGCATTCCCTTTTGTTCTCTCTCTCTCATTGATACACCACAAATCTTGAAGTGGTGAATGGAACGCAAAACTGTGTGGAGATCAGGAGGTCTGGGACAGGTTCCCAGGCTGGCCATTGTCTTCCTGGGTCACTCTCATTACCCTCTGCCAAACCCTAGTTCTCCATGGTTCCTTAACATCTATTCTAACATCAAATTTTATATCAGCTTTAAATACTCATTTATTTTCCCCCTGCTAACAGAGAGCAAAGTATGGAATAAAAACTCTAAACACTGTAGCCAGAAATAGGCTTGATGCAGGCCGGAGCACAGGCTTCCCATGCAGAAGGCACAGACGCCAGTCCTGGCACTGCCTGGCTTCCCCAAGTATGGCAGCGAGCACCTCCTGAGCACAGAGCCTGGCGGAGAAGTCTAAGAGCAACACCAGGTCTACGCTTGAAACAAAAATTAAACAAAGCGGGGCTGGAGAGACAGCACAGCAGGTAGGGTGTTTGCCTTGAACGTGGCCGACCGGGGTTCGATTCCCAGCATCCCATATGGTCTCCTGAGCACTGCCAGGAGTAACCCCTATGCATCGCCAGGTGTAACCCAAAAAGAAGAAGAAGGAGAAAAAAAAAACAGAACAAAGAAAGAAACAGACTTGAGGGAAAAGTGAGAAAGAGAATTGAGCAGCAGGACAAGACCAGTTAAGGCAGAGACTGAAAAACAGGTCATTTTTGTCCGCTGACTCAGACAATGGTTAATAACTGCCTCTAGTCTATCGCTACTTAAACACAGTCTCTGCTTAAGTCACAAAAACAAAAATAAGGTTATTTGAATCACCTTTTGGAGACATTACAATTCATATAACCCCAAAAGTAGATTTTTCTGGGACTCAATACCCCCCAAATCCAAATAACCGCACTGATTTCAAAGGTACTTTCAAGATGGCTATAAGAATTGAAGAAAACAGGGGCCAGAGCAATAGTACAGCAGATAGGGTGCTTGCCTTGCATGTGGTCGACCTAGGCTTGACCTGCGGCATCCCATAAGGTCCCCCAAACCCTTCAGGAATGATCCCTAAACGCAGAGAGCTCTGAGCCCCACCAGGCATGGACCCCAAACAAAAACAAGACAAAAAGTTAAGAACAACTTTTTATATGTGCACTTATGTGGTCAGAGTGTTGCAAAAAAGAAAAAGTAACAGCATGTTTTCACCTGTTGCAAATGCTTTCCCACAGCCTTGGTGCTCACACTGATAAGGCCGGTCTCCTGTGTGTGATCGCTCATGGACCTGTCAGTAAAACACAGCATAATTCTATTTGCTTTAGGCATTCTTTAAGTGGACTGTCTCAACATACAGCCCCCACCCCAACATATTTTTTTTTTTGTTTACATGATTCTTATTTTCACTTTTCAAGTTTGAGCTCACTGGAACTGGGCTGTGGATCAACAGGAGCCCACTATCTTCCATGAAAGAGGCAGTGAGCTTGATTCCTGGCCATGCCCGGCTCCCCAAGCATACCCGGAGCAACCTCCAAGTGCCAACCTGGGAGCAGGCCCTGAGTACTGCTGGGAATGGCTCCAAACCAAAAGCTATAGCCCAATCATTCTGAATAAAGACCTAAATGGTGCACGTTAGGAAGTGCTCATTTTATGTAAAGCACAGGAACTCTGGAGATTTGAGTTTTACTGAATGGTTAAAGGTGTTCATGGGTGACATATACCAGGTGAGAGCTATGAGCAGAGTAAGGTGACAATAAAAGGTGCTGTAGAGAGAGGCGGCTATTAGAGGGGACTGGATCTGAGATGAGATTCCAACAATGACAGGCATGGCCCAGGTGCATGTCTTCTCTACTTGCTTCTCTGTAAAGTGGCTGTGACATACGAGTAATCACAACAGTGGCCAACATTTACTGAATCTTTACCACATACCAGATTATTCTTTTCAGGTCACATAAAAAGTACTAACTTAATGTTTACAACCATTCTACAAGGAATGGTTTTCTCAATCTAATTTTATATCACATGTGAATGTTACACACTGGTAAGTAGTGGAGATGGGGTCTACTGAGTATGCTAACCTAGCACGCAGTAAGTTATTCCAGTAAGTTAGTTATTACTACGAGCGATGATACATTGTATTTAGCTACAATCCAAATTCTTGGCCTAAATATTTGAGACAGAACAAATAGGAAATTTTGCTAGATTCCAGGAAATCAGTATTAAGAGTGATCAATATTAAGTGTGATAACACATACCTCTCATATAATTATTTAAAGTTTATATGCCAACGACATACTGAAATATACAGAGCACTTACCATGTGCTGGGCAGTAAATTGTACTTTAGGGACCCAGAACAAACAGAGTTTGGGTCTCTGAAAGAGTTCGCAGGTTCCAAAGTCTGCAAGAGTTCTGACATTTCTGTGTATAAGTAAGTATGTGTATGGATCTTGATAAGTGGGGAAAACAATAGTGTTTGAGTGCCACACGTATATCTAACTCATGGACATTTGATGTTCTAGGTATCCTCACAACTCGATAACAGCATTGAAAAAATACATGCCTTTAGATGGTGAGCTGTTGTATATAATTTTCCACATCCATCATATTTACATCGAAATGCCTTCTCTCCACTCTGCTGAGATTTAGCAGTGACTCTTGTTGCATGTCCTTGCAGGACAATCTAAATAAAACAAAAAGAATGATTTGACAAAACTGTATACAAATATATTTTAGGATAGGTATCCCCCTGAAAAATATCAAAAACATTTCAAATTTCAAAATCATGTCAAAAGCAACAACAAAAAATCAGGTTGTCATCTGCATGACACTAATCCATATAATCTCAGTGTGTACTTATATTCTTAGATCACTTTACTGGGACTCAATACCCTAAGAATTCAAACAACAGCATTAATCTGAAAGGCTTTTAAAGGATAATCATAAAAACTAATCTGGGGTAAGAGCAATAGAGCAGGTAGGGTGCCTTCCTTGCTATGCGGCTGACCTGGGTTCAATACCTGGCACCCCATATGATCTCCCGAGCCTTGCCAGAAGTGACCTCTATGCACAGAGCCAGGCGTAATCCCTGAGCAATGCCAGATGTGGCTCCCAAACAAAACAGAACAAAATTAAGGATCTGTATGTACACCAGGCAGTAATAGTGTTCCAAAATCCTATCTGTGTGCTATCATCATACACAGCTCAAACATGATCCTTCAAAAGATTTTGTCTCTCTTATTTTGGGCCACACCCAGTAGCACTCAGGGTATCTCCTAACTCTGTGCTCAGGGGTATCAAATAACTTGAGAATCAAACCTGAATAAAGGTAAACCTATCTTGATAAAATACTTCGGTAAAGTGTGTGTACATAAGTGTCAATGTGACGAGGGGAATGCTTATTGACTGAAAAGTGTCTATAATCAAAATAAGATAATGCCACATCATCTCTGCTGAAAGTCCCACTTCCCTATCTCCATGATGCCTGTTCTTATCATTTCAAACTGCTGAGTTTTTGTGGGGGGGAAGGGGGAATGAGCAAGACAGTGTTCACTGAAACTTATTTAGAAAGATGTAAGGAAACAGAAAGAGAGAAGTACGTGTTCAAGAGAGAACACAGGCTTCTCCAAAAAGGAAATAGACAAGTACAGAGACACGGAGATAAGCAAGCACTTTACATGTTTAAGGGAGAACAAGGGCTTGAAAAGCTAACCTAAACTGCTGATTTTTTAACTGCTCAAGGTCCCTGTAATGTTTAGGTTTTATTACCAACATGGCACTTCAGACAATGACTTTGATTTTAAAGATTATTTGTCTTTTTTCTTTTCCTTACTAGCATACAGTTCTTTGATATGAAGAATTGTATCTTCCATGTCCTCATAATTCAGAGTGCAGTGAGGGATAGATACAATTCAGCGCTTACTCGGGTGAGTCCCTGGGTTCAATTTTCACATTGGGAAAAAAAATTTTTTTTAAGATAGTAACTGTGCCACATAGCACTAGGTAAAAAAGATTTATACTACAAAACTTTACAAAACTTATAAGGGGGAGGATGCCAAAAAGCTCTAAATGAGAGTGAGAGAGAGAGAGAGAGAGAGAGAGAGAGTGAGAGTGCCTGCCATGAGGAAGGTGATGGGAGGGAAACTGAGGACAAGGTGGTAGGAAATGTACACTGTTGAATGCGTTGGAACATTATATGCTGAAATCCAATCATGAACAACTTTGTAATGGTGCATCTCACTTTGATTCTAGTATCATCATCATCACTGTCCTGTTGTTCATCGACTTGCTCAAGTGGGCCCAGTAATGTCTCCATTGGAGACTTTGCTGTTACTGTGTTTGGCATATCGAATACATCACGGGTGGCTTGCCAGGCTCTGCCGTGCGGGCGAGATACTCTCGGTAGCTTGCCGGGCTCTCCGAGAGGAGCGGAGGAATCGAACTCGGGTCGGCCATGTTGGCTGCGTGCAAGGCAAACGCCCTACCACTGTGCTATCACTCCAGCCCTTGATTCTAGTAAAAGAATAAAATCTTAAAAGAAAAAAATTAAAATTCTTTTCAAAATACACAGCTCATTTAATAACAAAACTATTTCTAACTTTATGTTAAGAAGTTTGACAACATTTTGTACTCATCTGATTTTATTTTCCCCTGCAATTACCCATATAACATGATTTTCTCTTTGGGTATTTTTTTTCATTTACTTTATTATCTGGGAAACACCTTGGATTAGTTTGTTCATAAAAACTGTATTTTGACCAATAAATCTCTGATGACATAATTCTCTTGCTTTCATAAATGGCACTGTAGCACTGTCCTCCCATTGTTCATCGATTTGCTTGAGCGGGCACCAGTAATATCTCCATTGTGAGACTTGTTACTGTTTTTGACATATCGAATATCGAATACACCACAGGGAGCTTGCCAAGCTCTGCCAAGGTCATAAATAGAAATATGTGCGAATGAATTATGGAAATATGTGCAAATGAATTTCCTTAGTAACTTTTCTTCTATAAAAGTTACATTATTTTCTTCCGCTATTCATTACTTAAATGGAAAGTACGAAAGTATGCTCTTAGGACAATTTCTTTGTTTTTTTTTTTGTTTTTTGTTTTTTGATTTTTTGCTACTTGGGTCACATTCAGCTATGCTCAGGGGGTTACTCCTGGCTTTGCACTCAAAAATTACTCCTGGCGGTGCTTGGGGTGTCATATGGGATGCCGGGGATCGAACCTGGGTTGACCTCATGCAAGGCAAACTCCCTACCTGCTGTACTATCGTTCTGACCCAATTTCTGTAGAATTTTAACTTCAACATTTTGTTAATGAGCACAGAACTGTCCTTTTTTTTTTTTTTTTTTGCTTTTTTGGGTCACACCAGGAGATGCACAGGGGTTACTCCTGGCGGTGCTTAGGGGACCATATGGGATGCTGGGAATCGAATCCGATCGGCTGCATGCAAAGCAAACACCCTACTCGCTGTGCTATCTCTCCAGCCCCAGAACTGTACTTTTTGAAATTGAATTTTATGTCCACATTCAGTTTCCTTTTAATTATACCAACAGACTTATTCCTCTGAATCTTGGGTAAATGTTTCAATTTTTTGTTTCTATATCACTCGTGGGAAGGAAAAGGGGGTCATTGGTGAAGAAAAGTTGGTATTGGTGACAGGATAGGTGTTTAAAAATTGTATATTGAAGGGCTGGAGCGATAGCACAGCGGGCAGGGCATTTGCCTTGCATGCGGATGACCCAGGTTCAATTCCTAGCATCCCATATAGTCCCCTGAGCACCGCCAGGAGTAATTCCTGAGTGCATGAGCCAGGAGTGACCCCTGTGCATCGCTGGGTGTGATCGCAAAAAGCAGAAAAAAAAATTGCATATTGAAACTCAACTATGAATAACTTTGTAAATCACAGTGTTTAAATAAAAAATATATTAATAATAAAATTAACTGGTGTTGATGGATATGTATTGTCAAAGGCAATCTTATCCACTGTTGGTAGGAATGTCATCTAGTTTCACTTCTGTGGAAAACAGTATAGAGGCTGTTCACTGCAGATCTAAGTGTAATAGCAAAGACATGAAAATAACCCAAATGTTCCACGAGAGATGAGTGGATAAAGAACTTGTCACATGTGTACACAACGGAAAACTTTGCAGCTATAAAAAATTAAAAAAAGAGGAAATCTTGCTGTTTTCTGCAACTTGTATGAAACTAGAGGGAATTATTAAGCAAAGTAAGTCAGATAATCAGCTGACAAAAAAACAAAAAAAAAGATCTTACTCATCTGTACTGTATAGAGAAACAAAATAATAGACAATATCAAATGATGACTAACTCTTGACCTCTGACTAAAAACCTGAGATTACTGAGCAGAATAAGGAGAATAAGGAGAGGGGAGAATGAAATGTGAACAAGAATAAAAATATATAGAGGGTCTTAGGGTACTTTGATGGCTGTGAAGCCACAGTGACTTTGTAAACCGAAACATAAGTTAACACCTTAATTTTTTTTTTAAAAAAAGCTCTAAAGTCTTTGGTGATAATTTCATAATTTTGTTTTTTATTAAAAACTACTCTATCATTTAAAAAAATAAATTTTGAGACCAGAGAGTTGGCTCAGTGGGTTGGAGCTCATGTTTTACATATGGGAGCCCCAATTAATATTTTTGTTTTTCAGTCTTTGGGCCACACCTGGTGGAACTTGGAGAATACTTCTAGCTAGGGGACCTTGCAGTGCCAGGAGCTGAACTCACAGCTCTAGAATGCAAAGCATTCACCTTTTAGTTAGCTCCTGGATCCCTATTCAGAGCTTTTCAAATGCACGCATGTCCATATATAGTTTCATTTCTATTTATTTGAAATTCTAGAGTACACCGGGTAGTGCTCAGGGGACTGTATGTGCTAACGGGGACTGAATACAGATCGGTCGCACTTAAGGCAAACCCCCTACTCAATGAACTCTGTATCTCTCTGGCCCAGTAAACTGTCTTATTCTGGCAGAACAGAATTAGGCTCTAAGGGCAGATACTAATTGAAAAGGAGGGCACTAAGGACAAGAGTGACAGTGCCTATGACCTCCTCATATTTGAGTTTGATGGATTTCACAAAATAGCTCACATCTTCAGGGGCCCAGAGTCATAGTATAACAGGTAGGGTGTTGCCTTACACATGCCTGAACCAGGTTTGATCCCCGGCATCCCATATGGTCCCACAAGCACTGCCAGGAGTAATTCCTGAGTGTAACCCCTGGGTATGGCCCCAAATCTAAACTAAAACCAACAAAACTACAGCTCACACCTTCCCAGGTGGTGGCAGCACACTATCACTACAGATGAAACTTCTGTTGTGTCTATCACTCCAAGGAAAATTGATCAGAAACTTTAATTCTGGAATGAAATATACACTGGAAGTGGAGGAGGGGAGTTTCCATTAACTTAATTATGCCCTCCAAACTAAGAGTAAATTCATAACCTGTGATGCGCGCACATTGGAATTTTTTAAGAGACAGACTTCTGTCTACTTGCATTCAAATGTCTAAGTCATTTGCTTCAAGAACTCAGGGTGGTGACAAAGGGGTCAGGTGCTCCAGTTTCTGAATCTACTGAATTTCCTAGTGTGTGCCTACAGGGCAGAAAGACGGAGTGGAGATATCAGACTCCTTCCTTCTCCCTTCCTCTCCCCTCCCCCCTCCCTTCCTCTTTTCTTTTTCTTTTTGGGTAACACCCAGCAATATTCAGGGGTTACTCCTGGCTGTGCACTCAGGAATTACTCCTGGCAGTGCTTGGGGAACCACATGGGATGCCGAGATTGAACTTGGGTCGGCTGCATGCAAGGCAAACACCCTACAGCTATACTATCACTCCAGTTGAATTTGTTTCTTTTTTGTTTGTTTTTGGGCCACATCTGGCAGTGCTCAGGACTTACTCCTGGCTCGGCACTCAGGGATCACTCCTGGCGGGGCCCAGGGGACCATATGAGGTGCCAGGGATCTAATCCCAGTCAGTCACATCAAGGTAAGCACACTACTGATTGAACTAATGCGCCAGCCCACTTTTTTCTTTCTTTTTCTGTGGGGAGGGGACTCCCAAGCAGCGCTCAGAGGGCTCTGGGGCCATTGCAAATGATACTCTGCCCAGTTGTGCAAGCCTGACAATTCAGTTCCTGGTGATGTGGTGCTAGGGTCACCAGAGACACGCCAACAGTGCTTGGGTGGGCATGAAGTACCAGGGTATTAAACTTGGGGAATTCAACAGGCAAGGCACATACTGTAGCCTTTCAGCTACCTCTCTGGCCCAGAATTTCTTATTTCTTAATCAGCTGAAGTCATTAGCATGTGATAATGCTAATGACCTTAGCATTATCACAGGGCTGACCTGAGTAATCCTCCTGCATCCCATATGGTCCCCCAAGTCCTCAAGGAATGATCCCTGAGAGCAGAGCCAGTAGGAAGTCCTGAGCACTTCCAAATGAGACCCAAAAACAAAATAAAATATTCTATTTGGGGGCTAGGCATGTGGCTCAACAGTAGTGTCTGTCTTAAATGTGTGATGCCCTGGTACACCACAGACACGTACCTGAGTGAGCACACAACACAATCGTCTATTCTTTAAAACCTTTTTATTTACTAGTGAGAGAAACTTTTTTGGGTTACTTCAAGGTACTAACATCTCTGAAAACATTTACATCATATACGCATTTCAGTAGCTTGATTTTATGAATTTCGGTGGATTTGATAGAGTATAATATATAAAAGATATATATTTTTTTAATTTGGGGGGGGGCATACCTAGCAGTGCTCAGGAGTCACTCCGGGCTCTGCAGTCAGGGATCACTCCTCATGATGCTCATGGGACTATATGGAAAGCCAGGGATCATACCTGGATTGGCTTCATGCAAAGCAAGCACCCTACCACTGTCCTATCACTCTAGCCCCTAAAAATGAAAAATTTAAGATTTAATTTTATAAATACAGAGACTTAAAAATGCACTTTCACAATCAGAGAAACAGTACAAAGGTTAAGGGCTTGTTTTGCATGCAGTTGGCTCCAGTCTGATACCTGGTACCAAACTGATGCATGAACACAGAGCTGCAAGTATTTCTGAAGAATGCAGAGTTCGGCCCGCCTCCCCAGTAAAAAGAAAAGGCATTTATAATAAGAATTCAAAGATCTGCACTGGAGAAATAGTGCAGAGGTCTAGGTACTAGCCTTGCCAGCAGCTGACCCTGGTTCAATCCCTAGCACTGGTCTAGCATATGGTCTCTGAGGTCTGCCAGGTATAATCCCAGAGCACAGAGTCAAGAGTGCCTCCTGAGTTTGGCCTGACATTGCCCAATATGCCCCCTTCCCACTGTTTTTTTTCTTCATTGTTTTTTGAGCCACACCCTAAGGTGCTCAGGACTTTACTTCTAACTCAGAGACCATTTATTGTAAGACTCCAGTGACCATTTGTGGTGCCAGGGATTGAACCTGAGTTGGTCAAGTGCAAGGCAAAAGCCCTACCTCTTACAATGTCTCTCTGGCCCCCTGTTGTTATTGTTTTTATTTTTTTTCTGGGGGGGGCACACCTGGTTGTGCTCAGGACTGACTTACTACTGGTTTTGCATTCAAAGAACTCCTGATCGGCTCAGGGGGCAATATGGGGTGTTGAAGATTGCACCAAGGTTGGCCAAGTACAAGGGAAACTCCTTATCCACTATCCTATTTCTCTCCAGCCCCCAATCCTCTGCCTTCTTTTTTCCCCCCCCAAGAATCATATAATTTAGGGGCTGGAGCGATAGCACAATGAGTAGGGCATTTGCCTTGCACACAGCCAACCAGGGTTCAATTCCCAGCATCCCATATGGTCCCCTGAGCACTGTCGGAGTAATTCCTGAGTGCAGAGCCAGGAGTAAGCCTGTGCATCGCTATATGTGACCCAAAAAGCAAAACAAAATATATATATATATATATATATATATATATATATATAATTTCATGGGTTGGAACAAAAGCACAGTGGGCAGGGCGTTTGCTTTGCACACAGCCGAACAGGGTTCAATTCCCAGCATCCCATATGGTCCCTTGAGCACCACCAGGAGAAACCCCTGTGCAACGCCGGGTGTGACCCAAAAAGCCAAAAAAAAACCATATAATTTCAAACCTGGAAGGATTTAGCACTTCATTAAATTGTATTTATACTACTGCTGCTCTATGGCACCATGTAAATTGGTCACTGTCATTGTCACTGTCCTTCCGTTGTTCATCAATTTGCTCGAGCAGGCCCCAAAATGTCTCCATTGTGAGACTTGTTGTTACTGTATTTGGCATATCGAATATGTCACGGGTAGCTTGACAGGCTTTGCTGTGCGGGTGAGATACTCTCGGTAGCTTGCTGGGCTCTCTGAGAGGGACAGAGGAATCGAACCTGGGTCGGCCAGGTACGCTGCATGCAAGGCAAACGCCCTACCCGCTGCTATTGCTCCAGCCCAGTAATATGTAGAAACATCATATTTCTACCAGTGATTCTAATAATTTTATCACTCACTATTATTATAAATGCAAAATCCACTTGATAATTTCTAACAGCATCACTCACTGTCATTAAATGATACGGCTGGGGCTGGAGCGATAGCACAGCGGGTAGAGCATTTGCCTTGCACGCAGCCAACCCAGGTTCGAATCCCAGCATCCCATATGGTCCCCTGAGCACCGCCAGAAGTAATTCCTGAGTGCAGAGGCAGGAGTAATCCCTGAGCATTGCCAGGCGTGACCCAAAAAGCAAAAAAAAAAAAAAAAAAAAAAAAGATACTGCTAATGCTTATGTTAAAAGGCATTTCCCTAACTCCCTAAGAATTAAATATGCCTAAAAAAAAAAAATCATTGGAGGATCCTCCCAGGAGGGGAGATGCATGTCGAAAGTAGACTATGGACTGAACATGTTTGTCACTCAATGCCTCTTTTGCAGACCACAACACCCAAAAGGAGAGAGAGAACACAGGGGATTGCCCTGCCACAGAGGCACGGAGGGATGGGGGGATGGGGGTGGGGGGATATTATCCATGGTTGTGGAAAATGGGCACTGGTGGAGGGATGGGTATCTGATCATTGTATAATCGAAACCCAAGCACAAAAAATTGTAAATCTACAACTGTACCTCATGGTGTTTCACTAATAAAAAAAAAAAATAAAAATAAATCAAAACTTTTAGAGGCACTACTACTCTACGCTGTTACTTAGGTAAGGGTAAACTAATGAAAGAATCCAGTAAGTGAGTTATGGGCAGACAACGCACAAACCATTGGCAGTTCAGGACTCTGTCCAAAAGAAAGTACCCAAAGTTTTCTGTGTCCATGAAAAAAAAAATTATTTAGGATAGACTTTCTCTCCAGAAGTTGAAAAAGAAACATGGAGGAAATCAGTTGAAGCAGAAAAATAAAAATCTGAATAGTCACTATAACAGCAGGGCCCCAGGGAAAGAATCCAAACACTCCCTCAGGTAGGGCAAGTTCTATTACCTGGTTTCCAACACCCTTGGATTCCAGAATACCAGCTTCAATTGGATTCTGTGCTACTTATATTTCTTTAGTGCCACTTTATATCTATATGATTCTAAGACCTAGGTAGTTTAGGAAACTCCTGTCTGATATATACTCTTGTTTTACTCAACTGGTAAGATTCACCTAGTTAAGTTCCCTATTCTTTCTTCTACAGCAGGGCTCCCAAGTATGAAGAACAAGAGTCTCATTTAAAAAATAAAACAAAATAAACATGGTAGGTAGCTTTACATACTTGCATTTTTTTCTCTTGCTCATTTTCTCCAATTATTCCAGTACCTGTCACACTTTCACTGCCATCAATGGATACCTATAAGAATAAAACAAAGCTTTAAAATATTTTATATTTTGATAGATATTTAGGCTGGATAATAAATGCATAGGATTATCATTTATTTTTGTGCGTGCTTGAAAATTTCCATAGTAAAAATTAGGAGAGAGCAGGAAAGACAGTACAGCAAGTAGGGCACTTGTCTTGCACATGGCTAACCCATGTCCTATTGCCAGTATCCCATATGGTTCCCTGAATTCTGTCAGGAGTCATCCCTGAGTACAGAGTCAGGAGTAAACCCTGAGCACTGCAGGTATGGCCCCAAAACAAAACAAAAATAAGAAAACAGGGGGGAGAAAAGAAAAGTTAGTGGCTGGGAAGATAGTACAGGGTTAATGGCATATACTTTGAGTGCATCCCACTCAGATTTGATTCCCTGGTTTCCCAAATGCACCTGGCACAAACCTGAGAGCTCTGGCACTATAATCTGTAACCTGGCATCTGTAATCCCTGGCACTGCAAGTAATTTCCTGCCAAATAGCAGCTGGATGTGTGGAGGCACTAAGAAAAGGGATGACTTGGGGCCAGAGTGATAGTACAGCGGGTAGGTAGTTTGCCTTTTACGTGGCTGACCCAGGTTCGATTCCTGGTATCCCATATGGTTCCCTGAGCACCACCAGGAGTAATTCCTGAGTGCAGAGCCAAAGCCAGGAGTAACCCCTCAGCATCGCTAGGTGTGACCCAAGAAAGGAAAAAAAGAAAAAAAAAAAGGATGACTCTAGAAAGGAAAAGGCAATGCTGGAAGGTGGTGAACTTTGATTCCTAAACTCCTATCAGTAACAGTACTGTGAACCAGAGTGCCTTAAAAAGAAGGCAGTTGCTCATGACAGAGGCAGGCCAGGGGGTGGGAGGAAAACTGAGGACATCGGTGTAGGAAAGTGGACATTGGCGAAGGGATTAATATTGGGAAACACTGTACGCCTAAAACTTAATCACAATAACTTTGTAAATCAAGGTAGGTGGCTTAAAAACAAACAACTGCCCCCCTCCCCCCCAAAAAAATAGAAAGAAAAAAAGATAAGACTCCAGCAAGTACTGCAACTAAAAATGTTGTTCAAGTACACAGAGAGGAAGTGTAACCTCTATGAGCATGCATGTGAGTACTGAAAAAAAAAAACCCCAGCAAGCACAGCATTAACTTGTGTGCCCGAATTAGGAGTGTAAACCTACCTGAGCACATGTATATGCACCTCAAGTAAAGGAGTGCAAATGTCAATGAGCACCAGGGGCAGGCGTATGAGGGCACATGTACGAACATGCCAATCTGATGTGTGTTTCCTGGTGAACACCAAGGATTTTTAAAGAGATGTGTATGGGTCCAGAGAAACGGTACAGACATAGTGCCATAAGGAGCTTGCCTTGCTTACAGGCTGGACCCAGTTTAATCTCCAGCTCCACAGACAGACTCTAACTGCCTATTTAGCACTAACTACGAGGACTGATCCCTGAGCACAGAACCAGGAGTAAGGCCTGAGTATTAGTAGGTGTGGTCACAAACTCCCCCATCCCAAACACAAACTAACAAAAATGCGTGGGCACTACAGTCAGTTGTACACAATCCCTGGTAATCACATCAAGACTATCATGACAAGCAAAGGGGCAGGAGAGTAGAAAAAAAGAAGTGCTGATCTTTTAGGCAGTCTGTTTTCTGCTTTGAATTGGTAGTTTGTTTTTGAGAGACTATACAGGGTGTTGAGGATCAGACCCAGGTAGGCCACATGCAAGGCCAGCATCTTACCTGCTGTACTATTTGTCTGGCTCCTGGTAGCTGTAGTTTCTAATTTGATAAAGTATGCTCTTTTTTTTTTCTGAGGAGAGTTTTGGGCCACACCCGGTGATGCTCAGGGTTACTCCTGGCTCTGTACTGAGGAATTATTCCTGGTGGTACGTGGGGAACCATATGGGATCCAGGGGATCAAACTTAGTTGCACGCAAGGTAAGCACCCCATTGTACTATCTTTCTGGCCCCTTTTAGGTTTTCTTTTAATGAAAAACCAGTGGTATCTGGGGATGACATTGCAATGTGATAAAAAGTCCTACTTTTGCTGCATACTGCTCCAGAGCACTGATGGTATCCGGGTCAATCGTGGCATCTCCAGTGTGCAAACCTGCCACAGTGCCATCAGCCTGAATAGCCAAGATGGTGTCAGACTGTGGAACTTGCACTGCATGGTGGATGTACGCCGTGGTGCCATCTTCCAGCTGAACTGCCTGTAATGCGCTCTGGTCATAACTATCTGAGAGAGAGAACACAAATGGCATTAAAGGGCATTAAAGTTAAAGGGACTCTGGTAAACTGTCAAATATTTTAAAAAGAAGGTGATGATTTTTTATTGAGAAGTTACTATAAACAATGACCTACTTGAGGGATATTTACCCACAATATATAAAAGGGAAGTTAGATTTTGGGAAATAAAGTTACTTTTCTTAGGAAAAAGAAAATTAAACAATTAACAATCAAAAACAGGGTCCAGAATGATAGTACAGGGGCTGGAGCAATAGCACAGCGGGTAGGGCGTTTGCCTTACACGCAGCCAACATGGTCGACACAGGTTCAATTCCCAGCATCCCATATGGTCCCCCGAGCACAGCCAGGAGTAATTCCTGAGTGCATGAGCCAGGAGTAACCCCTGAGCATCGCTGGGTATACCCCCAAAAGCAAAAACAAAAAACAAAAACAAAAAACAGAATGATAGTACAGCGGGTAGGGCATTTGCCTTGCACATGGTCAACCCGAGTTTGATCCTTAGCATCCCATATGAACTCCAAGCACCACGAGGAGTAATTTCTGAGTGCAGATACAGGAGTAACCCCTGAGCATTGCAGGGTGTGAGCCAAAAAGCAAAACAAACGACCTGTCAAAAACCATATGGACAGAAACCAGGATCTAAACATGTCATATTGTAAGTCCAAGAAAGTCCAGGCAGTTGCTCCCCTTCTATATAACCATGTCAATATATAGAGACAGCATTGTGAAAATCAAAATTTATCTAATTATAATAAACCTGTGATTAACTCTCATTATGAAACAAAATTCAGAACTTACTTTTTACCAACTATAACTAAAATTTACCTATAAATGTAATATGAGTTTTATTATAGTCTTTCTAAAACACAAAACACAAGTTTATAGTAAAATATTTAAAAAAATAAAAAATAATAACACTGGGCCAGGGAGATAGCTTAAAGGGCTGAAGTACTTGCTTTGCAAGCAGGGGCCCTGGACTCAGTTTCCAGCTCTGCATCATCCCCCAAGAGCCAAGAGGAGCTCGAGCTTTATTTTATTTGGGAGTGTTGGCACCCTCCCAAATAAAATAAAGTAAATAAAATAAAAACAGCTAAAGTTTACTGATCATAGGACCAGACAGATACTATAGGGGTCAAGGTACTTTCCTTGCTATGGCTGATACAGGTTTGGTCTTGAGCATCACATGGTTCCCCCCAAAAAAGAGGCAAGAGTAGCGCATGAGCACAACCAGACATCACCAAAAACAAATTTAAAAAAAAAAACCTAAAAAAAATTGTACTGATCATTTACTATGTGACAAGAATTAGGGCTGTAGAGATAGCACAGTAGGTGGGGTGTTTTCCTTTCATATGGCTGTTCAAACTTAGCATCCCATATGGTCCCCTGAGCCCACCAGGAGTAATTCCTGAGTGCACAGCAAGGAGTAACCCCTGAACATTGCCAGGTGTGGCCCAAAACCAACCAACCAACCAACCAACCAACCAACCAACCAACCAACCAACCAAAAGAGCTGGAGAGATGATAGCTCAATGCCTGGAACACATACTTTGCATGCAGAAGGCCTGGGTTTGATCCCCAGCCCAACAGAGTACTCTGAATACCACTGAGTTTGGCCCAAAACAGAAACAGAAAGGAAAAAAAGAGAGAAGAGAAAAAGAAGAAAGGGGTGAAGGGGGGTAGGTGAAACAGAGAGAGGGATGGAGGGAGAGAGAGAGAGAGAGAATATGAACAATATGACAAACTGCAGTCTTCCAGGGAACATGGGTTTACTTCAGAGAAATACAATTCTTCTTTTACATATTGGCATTCCAACAAGGCTTATTTTTCGTATTCTTCCACTTCTCCCTTATTTCCCTCGTATTTCCAAAGCCAGTTTACCTTTGGAGGTATGGTGAATAAATGCTGTGGTTCCATCTTCTAACTGCACTGCCTGACCGTCCTCTAGGCGCAAACTGTCCCCTGCTCAAAAAACAAAGCTTACATTTAGATTTCATGTTTTCTAAGATTTCGTGTGAACAGAGTCAATAAACTATTAAGTGTTAGAAAAACCAACGCTTGGAGGACTTGAGACGTGGCTCAAGTAGACGAGACCCTGGGTTTGATTCCTGGCACTATATGACTCCCCACTTCCACCAGCTCTGCTGCGTGTGACTCAGAGTAGAGTCTAATCTGTTGACCCCAGTCTGATCCCTTCACCACCAGGAGTTAACCTGAGCACTGAGTCAAGAGTCACTGCTTGCTCTACCCACCCTGGGGTGGCCCAAAAACAAAACCAAATAAGGTATCAGCATTATTTGCTGTAGGAATGCATGCCAGGGATATTTATGGGGAATAAAGGGGGCTGGAGGGGAGAAAAGATCTGGAGATCTAACTCATAACAGTAATACTCATTTAGGACTGTTGCCTACTTATCTCCAGGATCATTTCCATAATTTTTAACTTAAAGTTTTCTCTAGATCCTCTCTTTGACTTCTTCTGCTCTGCTGTTTCTTTTCTTTCTTCTTCTATTGTTTTAAAATGAATTATGGTCCGTTCCACTGGGACTATATGTGGTGCAGGGGATCAAACCAAAGTCAAGAACATGCCAGGAAAGCACCTTATCCCTCTTTTCAAAACAACTAGAGATCAGGACAAAGTTCAGGGAGGCAGAGAGGCAGCTGGAGGCAAATCCTGAAGTTTGAGAACCTGCCTGCAATAAATACTTACTACTTTTCGGTATGGGTACATGCTGAACATAGGCAGCAGAACCATCCTCCAGCTGAATGACTTGGCCATCGATGAGCTTCCCATCTGGAACAAAAATTTGAAGTCAACAAATAAGCTCAAGCAAAAATGTTGATAAGCTCTGTACAATTTCAAAATGATAACAACTATAAGAACATACACTACTTAAGATCATGTTCATCTTGATTCTTCCCTCAATGTTCTGAGGCAATTCAATTACACATCCAGTGATCCTACAGAAAGCAGAAAATCCTCCCTCAGCCATCTTTCTGCCCTTCCAATTTTCTTTTTTTTTTTTTTTTGCTTTATTTTGGGTCACACCCGGCGATGCACAGAGGTTACTCCTGGCTCTGCACTCAGGAATTACCCCTGGCGGTGCTCGGGGGACCGTATGGGATGCTGGGAATCGAACCCGGGTCCGCTGCATGCAGGGCAAATGCCCTACCTGCATTGCTATTGCTCCAGCCCTTCCCCTCCAATTTTCAATTAAACAAGTTCAAGAGGAAGAGTGGCTCATTATGGCGCCCTACACAACCAAACCTCTGTTAGCTTGTTGAGTCACTTAGGAACAGTGACTTTAACCCTGAAACTAAGACGCTGAACAGACAAGTCAGTGTCTGTGAGGCCAGTTGCCACTCTTATCCTTCCGGGCTTACATAAATCCTTTCACTATGTAAACAAGTGCTAGGCAGGTTTCTAGATAAACAGAAGTTTGAGAACTGCTAGCAAAGTAAACAATGATTCTGAGACAAAGTTATTCAAGCAAGAACAAATGTTTTTCACTCTTGTGCATATTTTGTAAAAACATTAAATATTAACTAAGCAACGAAGAAAGGTTTTATTAAGAACAGGTCTGGCACTCTGCCCCTTACTCCCTCTCTTCTTCACTGATGTTGATGGCCCAGAGTGCCTTCCAAAGATTTCAAGTCTCTCCTAAATTATTTTTAAAACTTCAAATTAAACTAAAACTATTTATAGTAATCATAGCCAACAAAAAGTCCTTACGAGGAACTGGGAAGGGACACAGTTGCTAGGCACTCCAACAGTAAGGACATAGATTATTGCTATTAAGCAAGGGTTTGTGTATGTACATACCTTTAGAATTGTGTTGTATGTAAGCGGTAGAACCATCTGCAAGTGTCACTGCTTGCAAGCTTACACCTTCCATGTTTTCTAAATTGTCACCGTCTATTGTGAAAAAAAAAATGTTATTTTCTGTAGAATACTGTTAAACAATCCACTGTAGCACTATAGCACTGTCCTCCCGTTGTTCATCAATTTGCTGGAGTGGGTACCAGTAACATCTCCATTGTGAGACTTGTTACTGTTTTTGGTATATTGAATACGCCACGGGGAGCTTGCCAGGCTCTGCTGTGTGGGTGGGATACTCTTGGTAGCTTGCTGGGCTCTCTGAGAGGGATGGAGGAATCGAACCCTGGTCAGCCGCGTGCAAGGCAAACGTCCTACCCACTGTGCTATAAAATGCTGACGAAACTAATAAACTATGTTCTTTCTTTCTTTTTAGATAAACAATCATGCTGTTTAAATTCACTTAATAAAGTTAGGCCAAAAAAGGGAAGACAGCTTAATTTAGAGTCAAATGAGTTTCTGTTAGTATTTACAAGAACATTTCTGTGCCCTACTTCCGTCAGCGGCCACACCAAGAAATGTTCATAGAAAGGCATTTCTTTGAACTGCCTCTAGATGGATGGGGGAAAGGCAAACACACAGTGCTGGAAAGTTTTCATTTTCCCGAGACAAATGCCACCCCCCACATGGCATGATCCATCAAACAGGACCGCTCACCTGCCACAGTCACTGCCTCCGTCAGGCACAGGGTAACGTGTTGAGCCTCCATTCCTCCTCCAGGAAACTCAGTCATTCCCTGAGAATCTCGATTTATTTGGGCTAACAACATTTTCTACCTTGAAGAAAAATACAGGAACTTGAAACACAGAGCGATGTGTGGGACATAAAGAATATGTATGCTATATTAACTGGAACCTTAAATTGGCTAAAAAAGACTTTATGACAAAAAAGAAGGAGATCAGGAAGGAAGCACGAATAAATGGCTTGGAGCACATGCTTTACATGCAAGAGCCTCAGGCTTGATCCCTAGCACTGCCAGGTCCCCCGAGCACCAGCAGGAATGACTCCTGAGCAGTTAAGTGCTCAATAATATAATACTTATGAACCACAAAGCACTGTTAAGTTTACTGCTTTATTACTTCAAAGTTTATAAATTAAAGTTTCCCCTTTTCCCCTTCCCTTCTTTTACTGCTACAATGCCAGGGGTGCATATACTTGGTCACAGTGCTCATACAGTTAAGTCTGGGTATGTTTTAAAATGTGGTGCTTGTGCACACTTGGCTGCAGTGCAGTGGAGACTGCATACTCGGTCATGGCACCATGGATCCCAAGTGCTAGTGCTGCCAGCTTCGCACCTGGCATCCAGGGTACTGCCCAGGATCAAACCCAGGGCCTCATGCCTGCAAGGAAGACTTTGCCCCCATAGTGTTTAAAATAAACTGACATTTCATTTCATGTGAAGCATAAAAGTACTAACCCAAGCATCCACGGTAGACTTGTCATAAATCATCAGTGAACTATTGAGCAAGCAGACAAGTCTCACCTTGTAAGTTTTGAGCCATGCCCCAGATTTCCCAAATTAGAATCCTTTGGGCAAAAGCGGTCCTGGTGGCTCAATCTTCAGAAATGTAGCCTGCATATAGTCACTTACGAGCACCTTTCCCATACTTCCCTGAGTCAAACCACAGCCATCTCTTAGCAAATTGCTCAACAGTATCCTCCCACGTCTCCCTGCTTCTGGGATCGCCCTGCTCCTGGTCCTGCAGCACAGGAGCCAGAGTGCCATTTCTTTCCCCCTTTTTTCTTGGAGGTGCTGGGAATAGAACCCAGGGTCTCACACAGACAAGGCAAGTGCCTGACCCCTGAGCTAATCCCCAGACCCAGACCCAGTGCGCTTTTTCGGGAAGGGAAACATTTAGATCACATTTAGTTAAAACTTTCTTATCAGAGTAAAGTCAAAAGTCCTTACAATGGCCTATGAGGTCACTCATTCCCTACGCTCTTACATTCATTCCAATTCAGCCGCACACTTTGCTCCAGAACAAACATGGGGTGTTCAGAGGTTCCAGTACACTGACTCCTGCCTGAAACATTTCCCCATGACTTCATTATTCCTTACCTTCATCAAGATTTTTGTTCCTTCTTACTACAATGGCACTAATCCTGATCACTTCATTTCTTTCTTATTTGGTTTCAGAGCCACATCTGGCAGTGCTCAGGAGTAACTCCTGGCTCTACACTCAGGAATTACTACTGGCGGTGCTCGGGGTACATATAGGATGCCCTACCTGCTGTACTAGTGCTCTTGCCCGGATCACTTAATTTCAAATTTTCTTATTACACAACCACAACAGTTTCTGCCCATATTCTCTCCTCTACATTTCTTTTATTAATGCTGTACAGAAAAAGCCCCATTTTATCAAAAACCATTCCATGTGAATGGCCTAAACTCACTAACCAAAGACACAGAGTGGGTAGTTGGATTAAAAATGCAAAATCAAAGATAGTATGAATTAAGGAACCTTTCATCAGATATCAAGATGAACATAAAAACCTTAAGAGATAGTACAGTGTGAAGGCCACTTGCCTGACACACAGCCTACCTGGGTTTAATACAGAGTATGCTGTTTGGCCCCTCAACCCTCACCAGGAGTAAGCCCTGAGCACAGAGACAGGAGTAAGCCCTGAGCACTGTCTGATGTGGCTCCCAAATCAAAATAAAGAAAGAAAAGGGCTGGAAAGATAGACTAGCTGATAGGGTGCTTGCCTTACATGTGGCAGACCTGGGTTTGATCCCCAGTATCCCATATGGTCCCCCAAGTACCATCAGGGTAATTCCTGAGGGCAGAGCAAGGAATAACCCCTAAGCATTGCCGACTTGGCCCCAAAACAAAACAAAAACAAAAAATTTTAAAAAAGATAAAACATAAGCTCAAAGCAAAATGCCAGAAGAAGGTATTCTAACCAAAGTGTACAAGCACCATCATCAAGTGTGTTCAACCACCAGTCATCCCCAACAACATAAAAGTTAAGAGGGAAAAAATAATTTAAAAGTTTGTACTAAAATAGGCAGCAGAATATTCTACTTGGATAAGAAAACCATTGGAACTTGAAGGCTTTGTCAAAGTCCAGGGCCACTTAGAAACAGAATTATTTTAATACAACTGGCTGAGGGGAATCCCAAGTATAGAATCAGAAGTAAACCCCAAGTTCCACTGACTATGGTCCAAACCTCCCTCCAAAATAATTGAAAAATAAAGTGACTGGGGCCAGAGCGATAGTACAGTGAGTAGTGCACTTGCCTTGCGCGTAGCCGACCTGGGTTCAATCCACCAGGAGTAATTCCTGAGTGCAGAGCCAATAATAAACCCTGAGCATTGCAGGGTGTGTCCGTGTGTCTCCTGCCCCCCACATACGAAATGTGAGACACAAATTTAGACATGAATATCTAGGTCTAATCATCAAGTATGTCAACTTTGCAGGTGGTCTGATATTAACTGAACAGCCGATGTGTCAAAGTAGAGCTAACAATTTGGTTGACTGCACAGAGCAGTAGCTAGTATACCATGGTTCTAACTTAATTTCGGTTGAATGCAAGGCAAATGCCCTACCTGCTATGCTATCACTCCACAGCCCCTCCGACCTCTTCTGATCCTGTTTCTGATTTTTCATTCTAAGCAATTTTCCCCTTGCTTAATCATATCCATTAACACAGTCTCAAAGAGCACTTTAATTTATAAGTCCTCTAAAACTTATCTTTCTTTCTATTAAAGATTTCTGACCTATATAGACAAATTGCTTACTGGCCTTTATAACCTTCATCGCAATAGTTTCCCACAGAAATCTCCGATTTTTCCCACCATCATAATAAACTCAATCACCCAGCAATTCGAATCTCTCTTTATTTACCAATATTAATCAAACCAAAAATAACCACTCCACTTCTTAAATTTGTCAGTCATATTCACTCATTTCTGCTCCTTTTATAGTATCTTACTTCCTTCACTCTAGCTCACACTCAGGATCAACTTAGTACAAACAGCAGCATTAGGGCCTGAAGTTGTGGCCCGACACTTGATAGAAAAGGGTTTTATGCCACTGAGCCATCGTCTAGGTTGTCCCTCCTATTAGATTAATAGGATCCTGTCACCCATTTGAATAACATCAGCTTCCTAGATCCCACTTTTATCTAATGACCTCAGCACAGTATAAGCATTTTCAAATTCAATTATAGCTAGTTTCTGTCAAAATCTTTTTTTTATCCATTTCCCCACATAGTTCAGTATTATCATCTGAACCCTACTAATACCAAATTTCCCTGCATAAATGTTGCATGCTTTATACCTTTTTTTTTTTTGCAAAATAGTAGGATGGAACCATTATGTGGAACTTAAAAAAAAAAAAACCCAACTGTGGCAGTATGGAGTAGGGGTGGGGAGGGGAGGGACAGAGCAATAGTACAGCAGGAAGGGTAAACATACGGCTGAGCCTGGGTTCAATCCCCAGCATTCCATATGATCCCCTGGGCACCACCAGGAATAATTCCTGAGTACAGAGTCAAGAGTAACCCCTGAGCATTGCCAGGTGTGGCACAAAAACTGCTGAGATTACTTCAAAATAGGGTGCAACAATTACATTGTGGTGATGACTATGTGGTAAAATATAGTATTTCCAATAAAGTAGATGCCAGAGAGGCTCATGGGGTTGAGCCTATGTGCTGCATGCAGAAGACCTACATGACCTACATTTGCCTACCCCCCCACCCCCCCGCAAGCAATGCACTTTCCTGAGAACCACCTGAAACAACCCTTAAGCATAGAGCTAAGAGCACTTCCAGAACATAAGTATCACTGGATGTGAAATCCCACTTCCACCCACACAGGAAAGGTAGATAAGCATCTCAATTTGTTCAATACTGCAGAGGTTTATGGAACAGGGGACATTCACTTTCACTTGCTTTTATTTTGTTTTGGGGACACACCCAGCAGTGTTCACAGCTTATTCCTGGCTCCTGGCTCTGCACTCAGGAATCACTCCAGGTTGTGTCCAAGGGACCATATGGGATGCTGGGGTTGGCCACTGTGTAAGGTAGCACCCTCTCTACTATACTGTAATTTTGGCCCTGATAGTTTTAATTTCTTTGGGTTTTATTTTTTGGTGTGGGGTTGCGGGGAAAAGGCTTTATGCCCCTGAGTCTTCTAGGTTGTCCCTCCTATTAGATTACAGGATATCATCACCTTTTGGGGGGATGGGCCACACATAGCCTTGCTCAGGGTTAACAATGGCTTTGGGTTCAGGGATCATTCCTGGTGGGCTAGGGAGACCATATAGGATGCCAGAGATTGAACCCAGGTCAGTCATGTGCAAAGCAAGCACCCGACCCACTGTACTATTTCTCCAGTCCCTTCAGCTCTTGGTCTGAGCTCAGGGATCATTCCTGGTAATATTCAAAGGATCGAACGAAGTGCCAGGGTTCTAGTCAGCCACATGTAAGGCAGGTGTCTTATCCATGGGCTATAACTCCAGCCTCATTCTGGTCGTGGTGGGGAGTTTTTTCAACTAGAACAGGGGCTGGTAAGATGGCTCAAAGGGAGAGAGTTCAGGGTTAGATTCCCCTGTCTGCATGCATACACACACACACACACACACACACACACACACACACAGAGCCACGACAGTCTTGGGCAAGTCAAAATAAGTGGTTACTCTATCCTATAATCTTACTCTAGTCACCTCTAAATGTTCTACCCTCCAGCAATCTTGGTAAAATTCTAATTTCTAATGATAATTCAATAAAACATTATTAGTACACTAACTAGGAAATAATAATGACAGT